AATGAATTAATCATATTCTTAAAGTGTGTGTTTCAAATATTTATTATATTGTATACTCCGTAGTTTTCTTGCTTACTTCTTATGTTCCTACTAAAATCGATTTAATTGCATCCCATCTGAAAAATTAAATATTTAGCCATCGACTTTTGAATCGGTTTCTTAATAAAACTGATTAAGAAAGTAGTACTTTCCTGAGAGTGTTATATATATTAAAAAAGGAATGCATGCAAAGTTACCTTTCTTCGAGTTTCCCTTTTGTGTCGCCTACTCCTGTATTCATTATTAAATAATTGATTGTTTGTGGGCATCCATGTTCAAAGAGACAAAGAAAAATAAATTCTCTAAAATTTCAAAATTTAAAGCTTTTAATGAAAAAGGTGAAGATAACAAACAGTGATCGATCCAAAAAAAATCTGCAAACAATACATATCTGTGAACAAGGCTTAGAACACGGACCCCGAGAAATCCCATATCTGGGATCAGGTGCCTAGGAAGAGTAAGCATCCCCTGTCGACTGGTTATAGCCAGCGGTAGCCCTACGTATTGATCAAGTAAAAGAAATAATCAGCAGTTAAATTCAGTATAAAAACAAAGGCATTACAATTGATATGAAACACGTCACCAAAAATACCCAATGATAGGTTATATTTGTTTACAAGGTTATTATAAAGACCATAGAATTTATAAAATGCTGACTTTAAACGAGGTTGATGAAATCCCGGTAACATAAAATTATCTGTCAGTACCTTGCCTCAGTTTAAAAATTGATCGAATTCAGAGCATGCTCTATACTATCAAATGAGTTGAGAGTCGTAACACCATATGCAGATGATAGCGGAATGTTTCTACATAAATAAGAAAAGTTGACGTTGGAAAAGCTGAAGGCATCTCGTTTGTCATACAATTTAGTTGTTAGTTGGCCCTCATCGTCTATAGTCAGTAAAACATTTAAATATGAAAGACATGTGGCTGACTCTGTAGTTTGTTTTATTTCAAATTTTTTTGGATATGTCGAGTCGACATATCAATGAAATTTACTATATGTATTGTTTATTGATAAAACATCGTCAATATATCTGAATGTCGAGTCGAAGGCCATAGCAAGTGTTTTCTTTTTCTCATGTAGAAGTTTCTGAATAAATTCTTCTTCATAGGAATATAAAAACAGCTAATAGAGCTAATAAAGAAGCACAATAAGTGCCCGTGGGGATGCCAATACTTTGCTGAAAGAACTGGTCGTTGTCAACGAGGAACTCGAGCATCCATTTGATATCAGCATCAGAGTTGTAGAATCAGTGTGATTTTTAACAAAGTGATTTTGCTGATGAAGTTACTGGCAGATGCGTCGCCCAGTATAAAAAAGGTCTCACTCTTTTGAGTCTATGAGGGACACAGACTCTAAGGGTTCATTCAATCGGTGTCCCATGGATTATCCTCGGGGATATCAAACATATCTCATATATGCAATCTTCAGATTCCCAGTTTCGGTATAGAACCAACAGTTCATACAAAAATTTGAAAGAATGTAAAGTTTGTAATAGAGATATAATTGACGATTCCTTTTCCGTTCCCATGTGTTCTATTCAAAATGTTTTGTCAAAACCTGTAAAACCTGTGATATTTTGATTACTAGCTCCTCTTTTACTATGATAATCTTACTGGACAGAGCTTCTATACCAAAACTTGGGAAAATCTGAATTGCAAATCTTCTAGTGTTGTCTACAAATTAGGTACCCTTTGTGGGCTTATTTCTGTTGGTGAAACCAAGGGTTCTATTAATAAAAGAGTACAGGGCATAGATTTCAAATTAATAACGGGGCCCAGCAGCTTCTATACAATCATTTTAATTTATCTAATCTTTCTATTTCGTCAATGAAATTTAAAATTCTAGAAAACATTCACCATCATACTAATAGCCCATCACTGAGTACACCTTTCCGTAGACATCGAGAAGAATACTGGATTAGAAAACTAGGCACGGCCTTTCCATATGGTACCAATGACAATTTCTATATCGTTGGGAATCTTTCAAGTCCACAACGTAGCAATGTGAATTTGTTGGGACTATTTAACAGTACACAGAGACGTAAGCGTAGTCCTGGACATCGGTCTTACAATAAACCTATTATACACGATGTCTCCTTTTATTCGCTACTACCTTTTGTAAATAAACAGTTAGGCCTTCATCACATTTGCACCAAACTTTACTCTACTCCGTCCCTGTTAAACTTTTGAATAGTCTTTTTGCAAAAGTCAAGGAAAGTGCATCTTTTGGATTCTTCGACACCAGAAAACAGGCTCGGATCTGTGATGATGGATATTGTAAATCAAAAGCGCTTTAACTGCTACGTTTCGCGGACGAAAATACCTCTCAAACAAAGAAATTGACGCAGTTCATGTAAGAAATATTCTTAATCACAAAAAGGTCCAGTCTTGTATTCCACCATATTTCAAGTTGAAGTCCACACCTTGTATTTCTTACAAATATACATCGACAATTGCTTCCAAATTTTTTAAATGCTGTATACAGGGAAATTTTCGCCACCGTCTTATTTTCGCCCTACTCACAGTGGGCGAATGGAAGAAGTATAATTTCTTTAAAAAATAATAATAATAATTTCTTAAACAGAACTGTCATTGAGCGATTTCAAAACGGGGCAAAATTATTATAAAAAAGCAAAAATAGCACGTAGCGAAAATAACCCTGTGTGTAGCATTAGAAAACTCTACAGTGCTTAGATATCGAGTATCTGAAACATAAACCTCCAACGTGCTCATGTTCTTCTTCACCCTACATCTATAGTCCAGTTGGACACTTTATTACTGGTGACGTAAATATAGTTTATAACGAGGACCTTAAATCACTTTTTATAAGATAGCCAAAGTTTAGGGAACCTCGATCTGTCAATTGGTCTCATAATTACATAAATATTATGAATTCAGTAGAAGATTGTGCCAGACGATGGACCAAATATGAAACAGAAGACCTTGACACTTTGCCAGAATGGATTAAATGTATCACACGAATGTTGAAATTGCACATTAAGCGATTGAGGCGCAATATGAAAACCATCTATCCTTCTGTCTTCGACAACACAGAAGTGAAAAAAGAATTAGATATATTTCACGATCAGTGTGTACTGGTCCCCGCTGACAAAAAGCAGGTAACAACATTGTCTTTGTTTGTAAGGCTCATTATTTGAAATGAATTTTAGAGGAACTAGGATTAAATTCTGCAAGTGGTAATCAGACTAATACCTATAGCTCCCTTTTTAAGGAGGATATTCTTCAAAACCATATGTTAGTTTTCGATAATTTTGATATTCCAGACAATCAAAAAAAATGATTTATCATACCTATACTGGACTCCAAGGACTCCAAAACTCTATTTTATATACATGTATGCATTTGGTATCTGAAATAGTTATTACATAAAACAAGTATTATTTGTCAACATTTGCAATTTAAGGTGTTTAGCTTGCCTACCTGTAGCTGAAATAATTTGAGAGTATTTTATGGCTGATTCATAAACTGTTAAAAATTCACTTTTAATCAAATTTTATAAAGGCAGTCAATTGATAAACGTACATGTAGGTCTAGGTCTTAATATGTTGATGAAACACACAAACATAACAGGCACCTGACATAATCTATTTTAAATATTCCCTTTACCTTAAATTTACATGTATTTGTTCTTAAAGATTTTTGGAAGGGAAACAAAAGTAATTGAAATGTATTTAATTACACTCTTCAAAATAATTGAGAGTAATTAATTACATCTGCAAAAATCAATGTAATTGTAATTGCAAGTAATTGACAAAATACTCAATGTATTTGAAAGTATTTAATCACATTTCAAAGTAATTGACCCGAACCCTGGTACCAATAGTACCACCTATTAGCGGACCTATCTTTGTATTCATATGAAGCAGAATTTATATATATAAAAAAAAAAACTTCATGAGAAGAAGAAAATACTTGCAGTTGCCTTCAACTCGATATTTAGATATATCGACGACATATTGTCAATTAACAATAGTTATTACCATTTATATATCGACTGGATACATCCCCGTGAGCTTGAAATAAAAGATACCACAGAGTCTGACAAATATTTAGATATATCGACGACGTATTGTCAATTAACAATGGTTATTTCCATTCTTATATCGATACGATATTTCCTGGTGAGCTTGAGATAAAAGATACTACGGATTCTGACACATTTGTTTCATATTTGGATATTTTACTTGAAAAAGACGTTAAAAGTAATCTAATAACAAAGCTTTATGATAAACGTGATGACTTTAACTTTTCAATCGTCAACTCCCCTTACCTATGCAGCAATATACCCTTATCACCTGCAAACGGGGTTTATATCTCTCAGTTGATTCGATACGCCAGAGTATGCTCTACGTATGTACAATTTCTTAAACGGGGCAAGTTATTGACAAACAAGTTGATGAAACAAGAATATCAACAGTCTCGTTTAAAGTCATCATTTCGTAAGTTCTATGGTCGATACAATGACCTTGTCAGCAAATACAATCTTTCATTAAGTCAAATGCTGACTGACTTTTTTTCATACTAATTGTTAGGCGATTATTTACACACTGATTTGTCGACGGATTTTTTCACAGCGGGTGTGACCGGTCGGCAGGGGATGCTCACTCCTCCACGGCACCAGATCCCACCTCTGATGTCTAAGAGGTCCGTGTTTGCTCTGCCAATTTTGTAATGTTTAATGGACTTTTGAGCTCGAATACTGTTCGTAATCTCCACGTATTTCATTGTATAAAGTGTACAAAAGTTATTGTTATCTTGACCTCTTTAAGATTAATAATTAGCAAGAAATATTTTATTTCTTTACTGTTTTATAGCATTTTACAATCAATGTATAGTTATACAGTGTAATGTGAATAACATGGATGCTCGTAATTTTATTCATACACAGACAATTTAATGAGATGAAAATGAGAAAATGAAATTAATTGATTATTTCAAGAATTCCTTTTACTTCTGTTTTTAGTGCAGATTGCATTTATCCATTTTGTGAAATAACGGCAGACCCTTAAGACATCCGAAAACAAAATGAAAATAGCAAGAAACGATAAAAGACCTGCTCCAAGCACACTTCCGATAGCTCGTGACGACATCCTGTCATCTTCTGCGCATGTTTTGCTTCGTATGTATTGTGACGTAGAATTGACAGGAACGGTGAGGTTTGTCTTGATTTCGTATATTCTCTGTTCTATGTCAGTTGTTTGATTTGCTATCTGTTGATTCTTATTATCTGTTTGGGCGCTTTTTCCCAGACAAATCTCTGGAAATTGAAAGGAAAATTAGGATTGAATCCAAAGATTTAAGAAACCATATACGAAATATTTAAGTCCATTTTACCAAATTTCAAAAAATAAATTCTATATATCACCTTAAGCCACACCTCTCTCCACAAAAATGGCCATGAAATCTGCAGTCACTAAAATAGCAAAAAGAGTTAAAAGAACAAAAATATAAATGCATTTTATTCCTGTAATATTTGTGTATTTATACGTACATACACAGTATATAAACTCTCATACAAATGCCTTTCTTATTGCTGTAGTAACTCTCCTCCTAATAAAGCTTCCCCTGGAAGTGGAGTTGGTTTAGAATTCTTCACACATTCTGTGTTAAATGGGGTAAGAATAGTTATGAAAAGGTTCTATCCCCTTAATCCTTGCATAAAATGTTTCCCCTTACAGATCAGAGTTATTATTCTTCAGATGTGAGTGACTGTGTCTATTTTGGGGTTTTCAAGTACGTGATTATATTTGGATGTTTAAAATGTGTACAAACGTCAGAAGAGATGAACATTATTTTTACGTGTTTATTCGAAGATTAATGAAATAACTTTTTAACGAAATTTATTTTAATTGTAAGAGTATTCAAAAGGGATTTAAAAGTTTATTTTACTGTTTTTATTCACTCATTGATTCAATATATCCCATTGAAATCGAAATAAAACACACCACGGAGTTTGACTCAACTGCTTTATATATTTGGATATTTTAATAGAGAAGGGCATTGAAGGCAAACTAGCATCTATAAACGATATGATGAACGTGATGACTTTAGCATTTCTATTGTCAATATGCGATTGTCACCTGTATTTGCGGTTTATGTCTCAGACCGTATGTCCCAGTTGATTCAAATACGCAAGAAATTGTTATTCGTCGAAAGAATTTCTAAAATAAGGCAGACTAATCACTAACAAGTTGATGATGCAAAGTATCTACATGACAAATCTCGTTTGAGATTTGAATGTTTTGCAAACTTTATGGTCGATACAATGACCTTGTTTGCAAGTACAATCTGTCGTTCGGTCGAATGGAGACTGTACTTAATGACATGTGAAATTTGCAACCAAATGAACTTTCAAAAACGAGCAATGTTCTTTTAATTGCAGGAATCGAAAACGTCTTATTTACAACTTTATGTACTAGTAATTACATTAAATAAAAGTATGTATTTACTAAGTACGAATCTGTTTTCATACACGGGGGTAATAACGATTTCTTAAATCTTCATACGGTAATAAAGATACCCACATTTTTACTGACTTTATACATAGTCAGCTCATGTATTTCTATTGTTCTCCTTTTAACAGTAGCTGTATATTTGCATTAATAAAGTTATGTCAAAAGGAGATTAATAGACTAACATGTGCTCGTGGTTTAAAAGAGAAAATAAACTTAGTCTTCTTACATTCGCCCTCTCTGTTGTGATCAAGTGTTATGGCATGTTTAATATTATAATTCACCACGTGATTTCTTGCCTCAGGTAACTTTTTAAATACTAAATTCCGTAACTTAGAATAATATTATTGTAACACAGTCTAAATCATTTTAACATTTAAATTTGTTTCCTAATTGGGAAGATTTTTTTATTAATAAACGAAAGTGAAATTAGGTTAAGATATTAAAGCAAAAGATATAAAAGCAAAAGAAGCGACCAAAAAAAGACCCCAAAATGACATTTAGTGCATTCATCTTTGTTAATATAGGCCCTTATTTCCATACCGAATTGACTATGTATTTTTCCGTGTACCCCCGTCATGACAAAGAGCACAAGTTTTGTGTACCCGGTCGACAGAGGATTCTTACTCCTCTCCTCCATGGCACCTGATGTTTTTAGAGGTCCTTGTTTCTCTGCTGACAATTTATATTGTTTCAATTGGCATGATAACTGTTTGTTATCATCATATTTCAATTCAATACAATAATGTCTTATTAAACCACTAACTATAATACATATTTACACAACTTCAGAAATACTCAAATTTCCTGATCTATTCCTGAGTATTTAATACATAAAAATGAGTATTAAACGTGGTGGGTGCCTTTACCATTTTTTTGAAATGAAATGGGTGTCTAAGATGGTTCAGTAGTTGAACCCATGTAACAATCAAACTTACTCTTGTTGTTTTACAAGATGAAAATGTTTTCAAGGTCATAAAACTTCACTGTTACATTTTGAATATAAATTATTATGCAAGATTGTAACGATAAAAAAATAATCCATTAAAAATGATAAGTAATTTCAGCATCCTGATGGAAATATATTTCTTGTCATAGAACTAATTAAATACGGTATTAATGGTTATCAGGTTTAAAAAAAAACCTTAAATTTCTTATTTTTTTTAAACCGCATAAAGATAAGATACTGTTCGAATTCTTTGAAAACAGATTCCTTTCTAAATTTGTTTTGTTTTGAACATATTTTATTGACAATGTGTCAAAGGGGTTGGCACAAGTTCTAAAAACTTAGATAGTCCTCTCCCATACATGAAATCTTAATAGCCATACAACATTTACAAAGATTTACAATTTTACAATATTATACATGAACGTAGAAGAACAAAGACAATAGTTATTTTAATCTAAATTTGCATGGCTTTTAGAGAATGTGAAAGAAACGTGAAGTCTCTAAGTGATCTAAAGTTAGTAAAGTTGGAACAAACAAAGGATAAACATGAAATATTTAAAAGCACTTACGCCCAGGCATGAGGGAATGGGATGTGGTATTGACATAGTGAATAGTTGTGGTGGTCACCCAGTCCATAGGACAGGGTCCAGGTCCGTCTATCATCATGGCCCATCCCTGGTCAGAGGGACATCCGTAATATCCCTCACTAATGTAGAAATTGCGCTTAATTACGGGAGGAGCTATATCACTGTGATAAATGAAATGTAAAACATGTAACCATCATTAGAGTTTCTGAAAATTGAATCTTTGCTTTTGTAACCGTATTCATAGATTGACTGAATACTTTAAGTTTGGAACTGCAAGGAGTTGGCCATATTTTTATTCGTGGTCATATTTTGATTTGCCGTCAAGAAAACAAGACGCCAAATGGACTAACGGTCAACTGAGTATTATACAACATTGCAAAGGATCCATAGAAGTATAAAATAAAACAAAACACCTAGTAGATGAAGCTATGTTGCGCAAAAGTAAGAGAAATAGGATGATCAGGGATCCACAAAATAATTAGGATGGTATTCGGTGACAATTCCTTAAGCAGATCTATTTGTTTCCCTGTATTTGCTTCCATTTTTCACGATCACCATTCTGATTAAAAGAATAACAATATTGCTTAATCACAATTAGAAAATCAATCTCATTCCCTACTCACATATGGCTTTCTTATCCTTTGAAGGGTATTTAACGTACAAAGACATGGTATTTTAGTCTCTTTATTAACCTTTTATTAAAAACTCGACCTGACAATTAAAATCAATGAAAGCTATTTTTGTATTATTTAAGAAATATGATATTATTTTAAGAGCTTCACTGGGATATGACATGAAGTTGGTGAGTGATCAAATCCTATAATGCCCCAAGGGCATTTTAGTAGATTTGATCAAGTACACGTACCAACTTCGTGTCCTATCCAAATAAAACCCTAAAAAATAATATTATGTTATTTCCTATCTTTATATTCCATGCAGTTTGTGTTACAAAGGAAAAAATGCACTATTTAGACTTTGTTATAGAAATGCAACATAAAGCGCAAGTACTACGTCATTTGATGCCATATTCTAGACCTTCCAAATGTCTCGTGCGGTTTGATTTCCATACGCAAGAAAGACTGATCACGTGACCAACTTTATGTCAACGGATATTTAATGCCGATTTCGCTAGTAGTGTCATAAGTAGACAATGGCAAATGTAAATATATTATAAAAATTTTAATATAATTCTTTTATTCAGTTGACCATTCAATTACACTGTCTACAGTAATTAATTATCATAGGTAAATAGCAGAGGAAAATAACTTCTTTTAGTAGAATACAAAGCAATAAACCTGAACAGCACCAATACACCTGACCAAGTGGTCCAGAATTTCAACAATCGTGTTTATTACAACTTTGTACACTGTTTGCTTCCCAGATGTCCAGGAGCAAAGAAAAAATGTATTTTCACTATAGATTCAACATAACCCCGCCCTAACAGCAGAACCCCTTACCCAGGAGCCATGAAATTCACAATTTTATAAGAAGCACATTTGCTCATCATTACTTTGCACTGTTTGATTGCTTAATTAATACCCAGGAGCAGAGAAGTAGGATTTACAATGGAATAACGTATTTTCACTATATAATCTATAGAGCCCCGGTATAGCACCGGCGGGCCAAGAAAATAAATATTTTGAAAGAGGCAGTCTTCATTATCATTTTCACTCATTTTGCACTAATTATGTTTGCTATATACCCAGAGACAGAGGAGATTTCGCAGAAATAATTCACTTTCATGGTATATTCAACAGAACCCTGCCTTAACGCTAGAAACCCATGACGAAGGGGCTATGAATTACATACTTTTGGAGGAGACACCATTGCTCCTCATAACCATGCAATTAATGTGTCTGCTGAACACCCTGGGACACAAAAGAAGATATTGAAAGAATTAATGCATTTTCCATCTGATCTATAGAGCCCAGGGGCCCGTTTCATCAAAAGTCGTAAATTTAAGACCTAACTTGGGTGTACTTCCGGGGCTTACGCCAAAATTTAGTCGGGTGTAATTTGCGTTTCACGAAGTAGCGTAAGACTAGTCGTAAACAATACGCTTAGTCTTAGGACTAAGTCCTTGACAACGTTGCACTGCACATGCGCAAAAAACATAAACATACGTATTGTGTACAACGCAACAAACAATGTTGTTCTACATACATTGTACACAATACGGTCGCGTATACATTAACTTAAATGAAAAACTACATGAATTTTTAGGGAACTTGAAGAAAACATGCATCTTAGATCTACTTATTATAAAATATTAACTACAATGTACTTACAACATACCATCTGATTAACTCCAAAATTAAAGGTCTAAGAAAAGAAATAAACGTCTTATAAATGTATTTATTTTGGAATATTTACATCCCCCCGCCTCCCCCCCCCCCTCGATTTTGATACAGGAAGAGAGAAAGAGAGAATCTGTTACAATTGTATATACTTGTAAATATATGTATCTGTGCATATGATGGACTAGTCTACTAAATTATCAAGAATCGATAAAATAATACAGAATATGCATTATCATGAAAAAATAAAGACTTCTTTCTATTTTTCTTTGACATTACTTTGTACGCCATTCCGTTTGTTCCTAAAAATTGTAGTATTATCTTTTTATTTTTCCCAATAAAGAAAGGCAAGTACCATCGATATTCATTTTGAAATTTTCAGAAATGTATCATTCATTGTTTAAACATTATTAAAACATTGCTGTGATGTCATGCCTTTGTTCTTACAGTCTAAAAATTTACCTGTAGCCGTCCGATAATAATAATTAGCAGTCCAATAATATATTATCGGACGGCAGTGATAACAAAATCGGACAGTAGTTAAAAAACAACAACTAGAGTGAAATCAAGGTTTAATTTGTCCAGAAACCAAAAAAAAAAGTTAGGGAAAAAAAATTCAGGGAAAGCGAACGCGAGGAAATTAAGTTGTTAAAATAGCAAATTCGAGAAGAAACTGGAGTTTTAACCTTCCTCAAAAGTAACACTTTCCATTCGGTTTTTTGCAAAGCGTTTTAAATACAGCACTGTGAATAAGCCAATTTAAATCCATTTCTGGTAAAGAACCAGTCTGCGAATCTCTTCATTTAATGAGGTTTGTTCGCCAATGACGGCACTTTTAAAACCCAAGATTTTCATTATATCATCCAATAAAAATTTTAGATAAAAATTAGCATTTTTACTTTAAATACATTTTGAAGTTATCATCCAACACTGTATCTGTATCAATGTCAAACGCACTTAATAAAAAAAAATATTCCGAATCATAAAAAATTCCTTCATCACCTGACCACTGTCCATAGTTCCTGCTAAGCCAAATGACTGCCATTGAATGAATGAAACAAAAGAGTTCACTCACTGATTTTACTGTCTGAAGAAAAAAAAAAACTTTCTCTTTTCTTTTGTCTACCTGTTAGATGGTTTCAGGTAGAAAACTATTGATGCCTGAACTCCTATTGTGTAATTATTGGACTCCTCCAGGTAACTTTTGGACATTTAAATGGCAATGTTTTAAGTAAGATATATGCCTCATACAATTCTATATGTAAAATCATCAGACTGTTTTCGGCCCTAACGGGCCTCAAACAGTCTGATAATTTTACATATAGAACAGTATTCGGCATATATCCATTACATATATCGTCATACATGGGCGTAATAATTGTAAAATTACAGTCATTTCCGAGTCAAGTTTCTCTGATAGCTGATTTTCAGAATCTACCGAGTGACTTCGTTGCCCCTTGTCCCTAAGGTAAAATTCTCTCTCATTTGTATTCTACATCAGAAAAAAATTGACGTTCAAGTATATTTACCTAATCAACTGGAATCTTTTTCGTCTTTTGAACGTTAACAACTTTTTCTGGACGCAGGTGCGGGTCCGTGATTTTTTTCAAAGGAGAGGGGGAAGGGGGGGGGGAAGAGTCATCAGTAAACAAAAATTCCATCTGAGAAACTTGTTGACAAGCTAAAAGATTGTAATTTTTTTTCCTAGACCTGAAAATCTTATTGGAGGGGGGGGGGGGGAGGGTCCGTTCAGTTCTTAACCTTAATAAGTATGGTTCTTCCTAACAACGTACTAACTTAACTCTTTAACAGGGGTCCAAGGTTATTTTCATTTCTCACTTACTTTACTCCAGATTTGTACGAGAGCTGTTCGGAAATTATTGAGACATTGTGTATATTCTTCTTTCTAATGAACGTCTTTCGGTGAAAAACTGTATATACGTATGACAAACACTAAGAATTAATAAAAGCAAAGAAAAGAAAATTACAAGTGTTTTATTCTTCTTTTCAATGGTATATTGTGTCAATAGTAGGAATACCCGGCGCAGTCACGAAATCAGATATTGAAAATATGCAACACCAACGTTCAAATTCCTGGTGAACCCATAGTAAGACCGAAAATAATTTAATTTATGTATACATTTTTGCAATATAATTTTGACTTCATTTTATGCAAGTTTGTTAGCATTTCGATCAAAAATACGGAGATCATAAATAAATTTAAGCACGGTATAGAATTATGATAACGACAACAAAATGGATTTTGACGTCAAGACGGCGAATCGAGCATAGTTACATAAAATTTTGTTTAGCGCTATGGAGAACTCTTTTTCAGACTAGACGACCTGCTAAAACAATAACAATAAGAAAAACATGTGTATGGGGTTGATTTTTTCACTAATATATTTTTTCTTCAATCAGACTGAGAGTGAAAACAAAAGCTCCTGAAGACCATCAACTATTACGGACCAAATAACGTTGACCCGCGTTCCATAAATCAGTACTGAAAAATGCTAAGTCAACACGGCTGACGTGACGTTAAAATGACGTAGCGATGCTGCTTTAGGTCGATAGACACATGCATGATTATGATTTCATCGAAACTTGTCTAATTATCCTATAAATTATAAATTAGAAATTTTGCACATTTGTTTTATTCGTTCTTTATAAAATGTTGACGAATTTTCATGAATTTATCTCTGTCCTTTATGGAATAAAAGTAAATGTCTCAATGATTTTCGAACAGCCCTCGTACATAAATAACGCTGCAAATTGCTGCGAAGAGGAATGGACCCCCTCCCTGACCCCCCTCTAGGTCCACGCGTGTAAACGTGGAGTGAATAAGATATGGAATTTTCCAGAACGATAATTTAAAAAAAAAAAGCCTACTTGGTTTTACGATGAGTAAAAAAAAAAATTGTGTTTTTTAATTATAGATATTAACCATGCAAAGCTAAAGAAGATCACTGGGCTTTTGTGGGAAAAAATACCTTTTTTCCACAAAAAAATTATGTTGGGAAAATAGTTTTTTTCAAATAGAAATTTTTAATAGGTTTCTTTTCAGTGAATGACACAGTATCTGTATCGTGTAGTGGATTTACAATACCTCCTCATACTCAAAATACAACAATCAAATGCGTATAAATGCAGGATTGTCAAAACTTAAGATATGGTGTTAAAATGAATCCCTAATAAGGCAATCTTTTATGAAGAAATTTATTAAAGTAAGTTATGTAAATACTGCATGTCATTTACCTCCCCAAGTGGGTGTACCCCCCTCCCCAATTTCCGCTCTCCCAAATCTGCATAGTTTCTGAAATGAAATTATGCATCGTTTGCATTAAAACACTTCTTAGAACCGTAATTCTTCTTGAATGAATGGCTAAATCGTTTTCAAATCAGTAAAGTCTCTTTATTTTATGTTTACTCCCAAACTTACGCCTACCCATGAGTAGACGTAAAATTTGGGCCTAACTTTAGTCCGGTGTAAAGATACGCTGTTTAATGAAACGCTAATCTTTGTACTAGCCCCGACTTTACGCCGGCGTAGCGCTACGACTGGGCGTACGACCCTTGATGAAACGGGCCCCAGCCCTATAACCCGAACTCCTGACATAGGGGCCATTTATTCACAATTTTGGAAGAGGCACCCTTGCTTATTATAAATATGCACTTACTCTGTGTGGTTAATACACAGGAGCAGAGAAGATTTTCAAAGAACTAATGGTTTTTCTTTTATTATATAATTAATATTTATCATTAGGGCCCCACACTAACTCCAAAGCCCCTGACCCTGGGGTCATGAATTTCACAATTCTGGTAGAGGGTTCAATGCTTATGACAATCATGGCAAGAGTTTGCCTGATTTCCAGTAAAGAAGAAGATTTTAACAATAGCACTAATTTTGATGGTTTAAGTCCCATCCCTCAAGCCCCAGGTGGCTGGGACAAAAAAAATTGTTGTACCCATTCACTAATTGATTCTATATGGAAAATTGGTAAAATTTGTCCAGCACTTCAAGAGAAGACGCTGACAATAATAAAAAGATTACGACCGATGGACGACACACGACGGACAACTACGGACAAAAACAGAAAGCGACAGGTCACCTGAGTGGCTCAGTTGGCGTAAAAACCCAGAATTTTTGCATGCTTTAATTTTAACTGGCTTATATTAGTAATATTAAGTTTCCGTTAATTTCAAGAAACATTTTGCACGCTATTTTAAATAGAATTGAATAGTTTACAAAGACACGCGTGATAATCTGAAGACGATTTGACAACTTAATAGCGTGTATGGGTTATTTATGGCGCTCTGCAAAAAAACGTTTTTTGGTGAATCCAAACATTTCGCCAAAAAAAATAAGTCTCCAACATTTTCATGTGAAAGTTTAGAAAAGAGCTATGAGCTTTCCTTTGAATTCAGTTTCTGGATCCTATCCGATAGATAAGGTTTTATATTATCGGCATACCAATAATCTATATAGCTATGTTCTGTTATCATAGATTTCCTAATAGATGTTAAAGAATTCCCCCTCCTCCTCAGCCAGTAACAAAAAATCTTGAAAAGATTATTTAATTGAATAAGTTTCAAGATGAAGCCTTTAATCATTTTTTCGTGCATTAATTTCCATTCCGTCTTAATTTTATCTGTGATTCAAGGCTCTTTTAACTCTTAGAAAAGGTCTTGTGAACATTTGTCCAACCATAAAAGTACTTTGATAAAAATACATTTATAGAGAAATCAATTTTCCTTTCATCCTGCCTAAGAGACTCAAGCTTATTAGCGCGCGTGGTATAAATTCGTGTAGAGATTTGAAAATTTATCACAAAATACTTTGAGAAACAGTAAGGTTATTTCAAAAATTTCTTTTTTATTTCACATATTTTCTACAATAATAGTGATTATGTAAGGATGGCATACATATCTATAAAATCCTGTCTGTATCTGAAAAAACTAAGCAAGCAAAATTAGCTGTTATAAGAAGATATATATCTGCAAGTCAAAACTGAGGAAAAAGAACTTAAGTTTGGTATTTATCAGCTTTTACCCATCTATACTAAAATATTCTCCTGGTTTTCCAGTTGTTCCGGCAAATGCAGAGATGTCATAGCTCGTCTCTAATATTCTATAGCGACTTAACCAGTCTGTCTTTGTTGCTCCGGTTGCGTTAAAAACAAAGTACTGAGCCTCTGTATCCCCAGAATAGTATGAAACTCTGATCTGAAAGAGAAGTGTGTTACACAGCTAAAGAAATCTCTCTATCTCTCTCTCTTAATTGTCTTTAAAGTTGGAAATGTTTTCTTTAAAACATGCATTTTAAAACACTATTATGAATAACGATGGTGTGTCAATTTCTTTGGTGATGAAATAATTGTATACTTTTTTGTATTTGATCTTATCTGTATATGTTTTTCGTAAATAAAAGACTTACCTTAGATATACCATTACTCTGCCAGTTATTCAGGACCTCAGATTTATAGTGGTCTAGAACCTGATTGGTCAATTGTTGGACTGCAAGATTGTTGGTGTTACGAGTGCTGTTGGAATAAAATAATTCATACGCTCCAAACGGTCCTCCCGTCACCGCTTTGTACACCAGCTCCCACCAGGACTGGACTGTACCTAATTAAGAAAGAGGCTGAGTTAGACTTTGTAATCGAGGACTCAAATCTCACCAGAAAGGGAAAATAAAAAGGAAACAACATAAAATAAATTACGCATATTTAGTTTAGATTTTATTTTATATCTGTACTAATTATAATATTCTTGCTTGACAAAATTAAGAAAGATGAACAACTACTGCAATTTTGTAGCATTCCAAATCTCAATCGAGCATTTGTATGTATTTATGTATAAGAGGAAGAGGATGTGTTACCTACATACCTATATGTACAGTTTTCAAAAATTAATTAAAAATACAGTTGTGGAAGTTTAAAAGGAAGTTTTTTTAGAAACCATTCTGGGATGTCGTTGTCAATACATATTTGCAATGAGGTTTTCTCTTCAAACCCGTTTTATCCAGTTATCGAAAGATATGAAAAATCTGATGACATCTCACATGAGTGAAATAATGTTGAAAGGGGAAGAAAACTACAATCAATTAATAAACCAAGACCAGAAACAGATACAATGCTAAAGCCAAAATTTTAAAAAAGTAGAACTTTCGGGGTAATTTTGAAAATAAAACAAAATTGTCTTACTTTTTTGAAATAATTATGTATTTTTACACGATTGCATTTTTAAAGCATATTTGTAAAGGAAAAATCAAGAAATTTAAAATCTAAAAATTTTCAGCTGTTCTCAGTTAATAGTCTTGAGGCCAGGAACTTTTAAATACAAATAAGAGAAATATAATACATTATTTAAGGGGAAAATAATTTAAAGGAGATTTATATAATAAAACTGTTAAACAGATCTTGATGTAGAATAAATTCGTGAGTTTTTATATTTTTATACAAAGAATCTCATAATACTCTTTTTAAAACTAATTTCCAATACTTTGTTTGATACAAATGATTACATTAAGTTACATAAAATTAATGTTTTTTTTTTTTTTTTTTTCTTAAAATGTATCCTATATTGATCGGTATCAAGATTAAGCTAGAATAAAAACCAGATCCCATATTTCTTTCATTTGAAAAAAAAAATGCCCTTCCTCCTTCTGACTTTTAATAAAATTCAGAATGTTTAATAATTTCCATATTACTGTTCAAGAAATTTTTGAAGTCATTCAAGAAGTGTAGATTTTATGTTAACAATTTTCAAGTATTTATATGAAGAATTTATATTTATTTCCAGAACTCATAGCAAATAGAAGAGGAAACTGGAAAATGGAAAAGGTCATGCGAAGTGAACAACCTGACAGAAATCAATAGTATTTCCTTAAATGTTAGTGAACTTTTACAGAACTTTTATTTGCTTGTCACTCTTTTGTCTGCTTTTTTGTGTTTGTGAAACAATACATGAATTAAAATTGAGCCGATTTTACGAACTTATGTCTTTAACCCTCTGATACATTGTTTGCATGAAATAGATCTAGTTTATTTAAATAATTAAAAATTTTATATTTATAATTAACATTGACAGTTGAAAATATTCAGTTGTACTTAAATGGACTGAATTTTACTCATCCCTAAAAATAAGGAACAAACAATAACAATGTCCTTTAAAAGTTACTGTATTTATTGAGTGACCTTAAAACTGAAGGAAATCCGAAAATACCTGGAAAAAATTAAAAGATACGTTACTAAATGTAAATACTTCTTTTAAATTTAAAAGTTAACAAAAATACCTTAATAAACAAGATACCCAAATGCCTTAACGATCAATTGAGTATAAAACAATCTTGTGAAGGATCCATGGATAAAATAATACAAAATAAACCGAAACTCGAAACAAAAGGGGAAAAAAGGAATGATCAAGAACCAACATTAAAATAGTAAGTGTGGTAATCAGTCTTCATAAACCAGTGCTTTCTATACACTCTGTCACAATAATGCTCTAGCATGGAAACAATATTTAGAGAGAACAGCCAGCATGTTCCATTTACAGTATTGGTCTCTCAAATATATCAAATATACATATATGAGGTGGTTTTGTCTGATTGTCATTCATCTATTATTTACAAGTGATCGGTAACGATTGACCTAAGTCGATAAAAAATAAGAGTTTGTTCCCGTTTTTGCACACATTTGAATTTTAGTTATTGAAAAAATGTGTGCAAAACAGGAATTTGTCCAGGTAAGATAATTACTTAATTGCTATAGTCTTTATTATAGATGGGAATTGGGAGAAAAAGAATCTATGGAAAGAATAGGAATAAAAAATGACTAATTTTGTATTCGATATTTTAATTGATTTATTTCTGTGATTTCATGATAAGAAAAAACTATTTTAAACATGAAAAATATCAAAAATACTTATCAAAACTATAATTATTTTCATATGATTATCTCTGTCTCTCACTATCTATATTTTTTTAATTAATCAAGTACTAGTCATTATATTTTTTCTTTACGAAGTAAAAAAAAAAAACGAACAGGGTGAACTGCGATAAGGATATTTGTCTAAATTAATAACTTCATCTTCAGTTGGGTTTAACAAATTAAATTTTCAAAATTTATTCTTTTAAATATAAATCATAATGTATTGGTTAAATACAGGTAATTCCAGGTAAGTCCCAGACGGAGATCAAACTATAAAACCAAAACATATTTCACACCTATTGTTCTATACCTAATTAACAAATGTGTGCAAAACAGGAACACCAAGCCAAGCGCTCGGCACTTTGAAGTGAAAATTGCGGGTCTTTCGGGTGAAACTTGAAAAACGGAGGCCCCCATGCCACGACAGGCTCTAGCAAGATAAAGATCCCTCACTGCTCAATGGTCCTAAGTTCCGAGTTCAGGTCTAAATTTGAAGCTCTTCATGGTGACGTTTCTATATGAGTGAAAAATTCTCGAATGGGGCGTAATCAAAACAATATACAATCAATCAATCAATTTTTACAAGTCAACATAACTATAAAAAACTACCATAATGAAAGTACTTTTTATCATATATTACCAATTCTATTATAATTTATTCAATTTACATTCAGTTATATTATCTAAATTGATAAAGTATCATTGGTAAATTATAAAAAAAAAAAAAAAAAAGGTTGGGGCATAACTTCTATCAAAAAGAAGTAAATATGTCCATTCATGATCATAGTAGAGCCCCTCCCCTACTCCAGAACCCCTGTCTCAGGGGCCATGTTTTTCATAATTTTTGAAGAACCACACTTTTTCATCATAACCATACACTTACTTTGTCTGCTTAATACTAAAAAGAGGAGAAGCTTTTCAAAGAATTCACACAACATTAGCGTGAGACTTTTTCAATACATGATCATAAAACGCCCCATCCTAACTCCAAAACCCCTGACCCAGGGGCCATGACTTTTACGAATTTGGAAGAGGCACTTTTGTACATCATAACTACCAACTTAGAATGTATGCTTTACACTTCGAATTAAGGTATTTTCATGATATGATCAAAGGAATTCCACCCTAACTCCAGAACCCCTAACCCAGAGGCCATGAATTTCACGATTTTTGCTTATCATAACCATTCAATTAGTGTGTCTGCTTAATGCCAAGGAGCAGAGAAGATTTTAAAATATATATACTAGTATGCATTTTCTCTATATGATCACAATAGGGGGATGGGTTGTAGGGGGCAAGCGTCGTGTAGAAAAGGTTTTAATTCATTAATGTTGCTCATAACAATTAACAATTTAAGTGTTGAAACGCTCTCTTTTTACGTATGATTTAAATCGAGAAAATTTCACAATAGTAATTCTTGTCTAACAAGAGATAAAATTCTATTAAAACAAACAAACAAAAACAAAAACAAAACAAAACAAAACAAAAAAAAAAAAAAAAAAACAAACAAAACAAAAAACAAAAAAAACAAAAACAAAAAAAACATTGCTATAATTAAAGAATTGCTTACTTTAACATGATTATTTCCATATATATTCTATAGCATGAGGTATATACATTAAACTTTCACATCAAAATATCTTTTATGTCGTTGTTGGCACAAAATAATTGACTTGATTTTGATTCAAGATATAAACTTACCCATATATGTCAAAAATATAATGATCTGGAATCTCATGTCTGTTCACTACTTCAAGACACACCAAGTTATTAATTTAATTAAGAATCAAAGTCGCAGTTTGTTGCAAACACGTTGTCACGTAGGATCGATGGAATCGATTTTCAATCCAATCAAAATTAATATTCGACTGCTACTTAAGCACTTATATAAACCGTGAACCATTGTTTAGCTAATTAAGTTCACCTCCACTTGAAATTAAATGAAATGTCGGTCTTATATCTCTGACACCGCAGTTTTATAGTTTACAGAACTTATTACTTTGAAGTTGATCTATACTTAAATTTTATTGGTCATGCATGTTTCAAAGACATTTTGTCTTCAGTAAATACAATTGAGTTTTTGTCGATCACCACACCTCCATTGTCAAGATAATCAAAGGTAGGCTACATGTAGTTTTCATCTGTGTATTAGGTATTCTCACCAAGAATTTTAACTCATGGGAAATTGTAAAATTAGTCACTCAAAAATCATAAGATTCAATGTCTCAACATACTCTCTCGGCGCCTGTTTATTCACGAATTTTAACATGTATACCAGTCTTAATATATCTTTTGTGATTTGATAATTTGTTTGTACTTTAAAAGGACCAATATATTATCTAATGTTCGATCCTTTTTAAAAAGAGTGCGTGTGAGAAAATTCTCAAATTTGTGTTATTAAAGGTTCCACATACTATATATATATTGTATGAGTTCTTCAAAGGGAAAAAGGAAAAAGAAGCCAAAACTAAAAACAAACAAGACAATGAAATATATGGAGATAACGAACAGTATTCAAGCTCAGAAGTTTACACAAACAATACAAATCAGGAGCAGAGCAAACACGGACCTCTGAAACACCAGAGGTGGGATCAGGTGCCATGGAGTAGTGAGCATCCCATTCCGACTGGTCACACCCGCCGAGTGCGCCTTGTCATGATCGGGAAGTAACAGAAAAATCCGTAGACAATTCCGTGTTTAGGTTATGGCCTAACAATTAGTATGAAAAATGTAAGTCAGCATTTGACTTAATGATAGATTGTATTTGCTGACAAGGTCAATATATTGACTATAGAACTTATGAAATGATTACTTTAAACGAGACTGTTAATACTCTTGTTTCATCAACTTGTTTGTCAATAACTTACTTCTTTTTAAAAATTGTTCATACGTAGAGCATGCTCTTGCGTATCGAATCAACTGAGAGACATAAACCCCGTATGCAGGTGATAAGGGTGCATTGCTGCATATAAGTAAGGGAAGTTGAAAAGTTTAAGTCATCACGTTTATCATAAAGCTTTGTTGTTAGGTTACCATTTCTGTCTTTTTCTATTAAAATATCCAAGTATGAAACAGATGTGTGTCGGACTCTGTGGTATCTTTATTTCATCTTATTATATCTTATTTCAAGCTCCCTGTGATATATAGTGTCGACATATGAATGGAAATAGCTATATTGTTAATTGATAATACTAACTAGTACGTCAAGAAACGCTGCTTTTGCAAGCCGAAGCATAAGTTTCCTCAACCCTGTCAGTGTTATATTGGACTTGAAAGCAGACAGGAAATACTATGTTAAAGTTTTGCGAAATTTCAATTTTTTAGAAATAAAGTACTCATTTTAGTTCCATGGTAACTGCAGTTATTTTGGATATTTAAACACCAGAAACTTAGAGAGACATATACAGTAAAACACGCTTATAGCGAATTGCCAGGGACAGATGATTTTGCTTCGTTATGAACGTAATTCGTTATATCCGTTAAGTTCACAATATAACTTTAAGCCTCAGGGAATGAAAATCACTTCGCTGTCAATTCATTACAGGCGTGTTCGCTATAAGCGTGTTTTACTGTACATAGCAATAATATGTAACAAAACAGTTTGAAATACAATTGGAGAAAAATCCATTTAAAGTAATATTCCTTTTTTTCATGAATATAGTTTAAAATTTGTCAACCAATTATATTGTACCATTTTTTTTTTTTCAGAAACTAGTTTTGATCATATGGAAAGAATAATATTTTAATGCTTCAAAAGAATTGGTTGGACAGCTACTGAGAAAAATGAGATTTAATTTTTTTTATTTTTCATACTTCGTATATGTTTCAATGGAACTGGTCGCCATTTGAAGAAGGGACACTTGTAACAATGCGTCGCCCCCTCTCTCCTCATACATAAGTACAGCCATGATATTTTATTGGGGAAAAATTGGCTCTGGGGGAAATCGCACGCAATAACTATAACTTACAGTAGGATTTTCCCCCGGAAAATTGAATCTGCTGTGAAATTTCCCTTGGGGAAATCCTACTCTAGAGTCATTTTCCGTGGGGGAAACCCTACTCTTGAGACAGTTTTCCGGGGGGATCTTACTCTATAGAGCCAATTTTGGGGGGTGGGCTGGGGTGGGTTAGGGGGAAGCCTACTCTACAAGAACGGTATTATTTCTGTCTCAGTAATACATTCTGATTACTCCAATCTCTAGATCCGTCTCTGTGTTACATTGCATCTGCTATAATTAAAGTTACAAGAGTCAAAACCATGTCTTAATTTCTTTCTCATCATCTGTATCATAAAGCGAAATATATTTATGAAAAATATGAGTATAGCCAAGTTTTGAAAAATTCAACTGCACTATATAAAGCAAGAAAAGACTGCAAAATATAAGTGCCAGAAAACAAAGGTTGTTATATCGTGGATGTCAAGGTCACGCGACTTTTATTTATTAACTTGTAAACAACATGGAATTGAAAAGGAATAAAGAAAGGAAAGGAATATGCTTTGGTTATCTTCTCCGAAGATTGTATCAATTAAAATCCTCCGTCTACCGGCAACATTCATTTTTTGGGACTCGAGACCATGGTAACTTCTTCAACTTTTCTGCGCAGGCGTACAAATGGAGGAACTTTCGTCTTGGGGCAGACAAATTTTTTTCTCCATAAAACTAGATTTTTTTTAAAGTTCTGAAACCTGTAATTTTCTAAAAACCATTATTTTCAAAACCTGCACGGGTCATGCAAAAATTCTATTTCTGTCGGTCTTACCTTTTTCGCGTCTCGGAGTCGCTTTAAGCCCCGTTCATATGCGCCCAATTACACAAGGTGAGCAAATTTTACATGTTCTCAAATTTTACACTTTGATACGTGCAATTTGGTACATGGAAACGGAAAGGGGGGAGGTAAGCAAGATTTATACACGGTGTGCACAAGTATTTTAATTTTACATCTACTCAGATTAGGTGAAAATAAACTAATTTTACTCCTGGTGTATTTTCAGCCATGTGAACGCGTGGCAAAGTTTACACAAATTGTCTGCAGGGGACGCTTAATTCCCTTAGGGGACCTGATCCCCTCTCTGATGTTTCCAGGGGTCCTTTTTTCACTATAAACAAATAGCATGTATTCAGGTAAATAAATACTGTTAAAGTTCAAATATATTACAAAGAGAATTTTAACTAGGCTATTAAATGTCGAAAGGGGAAACTACATGCACAGATGAAAAATTCAGTGTTCTTTTTAGTACATCTGGGAAGAACGTGGAACAATTAGAAATCTCAAACAGCATTTAAACACTGCTTGAAAACTGCCGACTTTCACTTTGCTAGTACATGTCGGCAAAATTTCATGGCGTAATGAAAATGTAAGTTGGGCCTAGACGATTGCTCCATTTCTTTGTTCTATGATCTATCTATAAGATTGTTGAAATGTCTATGCTAGATTGTATCTCTTACCAGTTTCTTTCTTATTGTTATATTGGTCCAACATTTATTTTTTTTATTAAAGTCATACAGATTCCTTTAATAGAATCTGACATAGAGAGACTGACTATTATTTACATAATGGATTGCCCCCGTATTTAGATGGGGCAAAACTAGACGACCAACGATAAGTTACAAATTCTTTTAGTTTCATTGACTGCAGTTCATCTATGTGCAACATTCCTATATTGTCAGTATGTTTCTTTAAAAAGACCATTTAAACCTTCTCTTACTCATTTGATTGTCTATATGGATGCAGAACTGTAGCGTTATGGCTTTTTAGTCTTTGACCATAATGCTACAGATCCCATAATGCAAAGTAGCAGCCTTTGGAAAACACAAGGTTTCAAAAAGAATCACTTAAAATAAAATTTAAAAATAAATACTGCATGTAACGTGCATGAAATTAATATTTCAAATAGAAGACATCAATTGCTGTATTCTGAGTTACCAACACGACTTGTATCTTGTCCAGTCTTCGATTATTTTGTGAAAATTGAGGACTTTTATCTCAATCTTTATTTGTATCAATATGATAGTTGCATAATTCATTACTTGGTACGTAAAAAAAATTAGCGTCTTGAAATGACACCCTGAATATTGGTTAATAAAAACAGACAAGCTAAAAATAAAATACTAAAAAGGTGTTCAAAACTGACTGCAAATATTACATCACAGAAATGCTTTATTATACAAAAACTATATATATAAATAAAGTTTGTCAATGCAGTATAATAAATATAGACAGGTGAATACAAGAGCTCATCAATGAGTGATTAAAAAACAATTGTATACATAAACTTCCCTTCTCAGTATTATTCATATGTATTATTAACAGGTAAAAATAAACCTGAATTTTCTACAATACATAATGCTCTTTATAAATACATTTTCTCCAAATATACGATACCTAACTATAAACAAAATTCACATCAATGAGAAAATTTACAAATTAAAAAAAAATCTTCAAAATATTTGATATAACGGTATTGCTATTGATATACATATCCGCTCTGAATCCTCTCAAAAACCATTTCATCTGATTGACAGTTAATTGTGTAAAACAGCAGTTAGTTGAATAAAGCAGTAGTTAATTAAGTGCAGTAGAATCCGCCGTCGTGTTTTCGGGAGTAGCCGCCGTTCGTACCAGCACAATGAGGACTCTCTGTTGGGGAAGAGGAAAAGGATAGAAAGAAGAAATAAGCTTAAAAAGAAGAGGAAAGGATAGAAAGAAAAAACCTGTAAATATATCCACGGATTTGGTGTTGAAGGTTGTTTGTATAACGTACCACTTAAAAAATATGTTAATGTATCTGATATCATTATTTAGCTACTTTGTACAAAACAAAAAAAGGTTTGTATTTTTTTTAAAAACAATTTCAATTGTAAAACGATCTTGAATTTGTTTAATTCTAAATGTAACTGTATCTCATCTTTCCGTCTTGTTCTTTTAACTGAAATCAAACTTTGTTTGTTGTTGATTACATTAGTTTGTGTATTGCTGATTCCAATATAAATCATATCTTACTATAATTTTTACATCTTATGTCTATATTATTAAGACGCAGTTTCGCTCGACATTGTTTTACAATACAATACATTATGTGCATTTTATGATGAGATTTTAACTTTTGTAAATAGATGTCATTATTTAAGTCTAAGAAGAGAAGAAGCCCCCGTCAGGTTTTCTAGTATAACCTCTGTTTGTTGTTTGTGTATGGTGACCCTCTGTAAAAAATTAAAACATTTTTGTTAAATATTTTAAGTGTTGTGAAGAATACTGCTACTTTGAAAATGAATCAAATATGTATAACATGAGCAAATATAACCTCTATGTATATTTACAATACTTTTCTAAAACGTCTCCGATGACTGGGACATTCAAATTAGCCAGGAATTTTGGACATTCAAATTAGCCAGGAATTTTGGACATTCAAGTTAGCCAGGAATTTTGGACATTCAAGTTAGCCAGGAATTTTGTACGACAAAAGGGGAAGGGGGTTGCAAGATTTAACTTATATAGTCATTTACTATGATGAGTTATTTAGATCCCCTCCCTGTTAGACTTCAAAAAAAGGAAGGCCAGTTGCTTACAAACTGTTTCAAATTACCGGTAATTCATATTCCCCGTTTTTATAGTTGTCAGAAGGGCTATCCCATAGTTTCTGATGCCACTATAAGGATAACATTTACCTTACCTTCATTTGTCATATACATGCAGTTTAAAAATTATAAAGCTCACAAAGATTTCTTGTTTAGCCACTTTTCAAAAATATAAATACATGTATGCAGATCAGTTGTAAAATCCATCACAAGTCTGGCATTCTTCAACTTTGGTCAATATATAGGACTTGTGGTTACTTAAATTGGGAATGAACCTACTTCAAAAACATTCAGTTGGTCACTCATCTAGCAAATATAGATGCATCAACAATAGAATGTTTGGTCACTGACAGGTAGGGCTTAAATTTACTTGAGAATGGAATTTAAATTTAATAAGCAGCTGGTCACTAATCTACATGTATAGTTAGACTAAGTATGTCAGGGGAGGCATAATGATAGTAAGCATCTTTGATGCAAATTTGGTCAAGGTAGGGCTTATACTTTCTTGGGTATTGGATCCACTATAAAAATGTAAACCTGATTCAGTGGGATGTAGTAACACAGAGGGTGAAGCCTGTAACATAAACTCATGTTGTCAACTTCATCAATGCAAGTTTAGCTAAATGTGCATATCAATTAAGCACTGTTGCATTTTGTTTTGGTGTGGAAAACAAAATTAAAATATTTTCTAATTATTATCAACTTTTAAAATGTCATAATGGACTTTTTTTAAACCAAAGTTCATAATGATACAGTGTATAACCAAAAAAAGGATATACTTTCTGTCAAATGAGTTAATTATATATTTAAAAAAAACAAACAAAAATGACTGTTTTATGAACAAAGATATAGATTTACAGAAAATAAACATACCAATTGCATTTTCAATTGAATGGATGCTATCTTTCTTTTTCTGCTCTATTACTAAAAGAGGATGGTTCAGGTAGGGTTTTGGCACAATAATTTCAACCTCACGATTTTTTAATACTCGTCTGAAAAAAAGAACAGTGAATGAAAAGTTTGAAAACCTGTTGATCTATTTTAAAACATGAATACTTTTCCATCAAGTTCACTTATTTCTGATTCTTTGATTGAATCTATGAAGAAATATAAAATACTTTTGTTAAATACTTAGCATAAGATAAAGATAACTTCTATGCAAGAACAGACTTTAATTATGAAAGGAATTTATGTGTATTTCTTAAGGCACACTGTTTAGAAATAGGGCCTTATTTTTATAAAACATAATTTACCCAGTATCTTCACCAGCTGTTTCTGGTTGGATGAGAGTTTCGTTTTTTGCCCTAAGGAATTCCTCATGATGGTTATATTTAGACTTAAGGACAAAATCGAGGCTGTCTCGGGGGGCCTTGGGATCCATGTGGTAAATTTCCCTACGAGAAGAAGCCAGTGTACAGGTACCATTCAGTCTGTTCCATGGATCTTCATTCTGAGCAAGGTGGACTGGAACGTCATATGCCTTTTGCTGTTCATGATAAAATGTGATATCTAAGATTGTGTTATAAATTATAAATATCTACAACACGTTTATTAAATCATGGAGACCAGAAAATTTATTAATAAATTGAAAGACTTCAAAATTTTAATTTAAAGCAAAAATCTTAACCTCAAGCAAAGACAAATATATGTATTTCTAATTTAAGGAAATAACAGACATTCACAAACACACACAGAGAACATTAGAAAATTGTTGTACTTAAGAATTTTTCTTTACAGTAATCAATCCTTAATCCAAATATATATAATGGAGTGTAAAGAAAAAATACTTGGAGGATGAAATGAAATTTTATTTTTGAATACAGCTTTAGTCGCCCATGTGGCACAGTGGTTAGAGTGTCTGCTCTAGAGTCGTGGAGTAAGGAGTTGATCCTTATGTCGCGGGTTTGAATCCCACTGTGGGACGTGGGGACCGGTCCTTGGATGAGACCATACAAACAAAGGTCCCGTGTCGCAGTAGGTGCTGGCACAAAAAAGATCCCTCACTGCTCAATGGCTGTAAGTGCCAACTATAGATCAGAATTTGTAGTCCTCCACCGGCAAGTGGTGGCGTCTCCATATGAGTGAAAAATTCTCGAGAGGGACGTTAAACAACAATCAATCAATCAATCATTGAATACAGTTTTTCTTTTAGGTGGTGAGACAAATATGTAAATATTGTCAATCATACATAGGAAAAAAAAATCAATATCCCTAAAGTTTATCATGTTTTAATTTTTTTTTCATATTTGTAGTTTTGAATATTTACATATAGAAGCACATGTGCCTAGGTCTATGTGAATATGAATACCTTATCTTATTTGTACATGTATATAAGATAATACATAATTATTCATCATTATTATATTCATTAGGACCCAGACACCTGGCGTATATAAGTATGAAGGTAAATATTTTGGAAAGAATGCAAAAATAAGGTTGGTTTAAGGCTGGTTTAAAGGAAAAGTTTGTCTTAAATATGTGTTATGATTAAGCATTACAAACTTCTTTTTTTTTTTTTTAGCAATTTCTTTGACTTTTTTTTTGGGGGGGGGGGGGGTGGAGCTAACACTCTATCATCTGAGCGGATCGATCAATCAAACTCAATCTTTACAAAAATGATAAATGAGGACTACCTTTGGAGAGCTTTAACTTATATCTGTTGCTTACATACCTGACTCCTTTGATGAAATACAGGACACAAATACATGCTGTTATATACATGGTATATATATCGTACGTTAGAGTCTACTGCATAAAATATACAGAACATAATTCATGTTAAGCAACAGACAAATACATACCTCTGTGGAGCTTGGTCCATAGAAATTCTCATCGTTTTGTAATCTTGGAAAAGGGTAGGGGTCTCTTTCTGACTGCATCATTGTTGTGATTGTATTGTCCACAGTTTAAACGCAAAAGTTCACGCTCTCGTTGATGTAACTACCATGGATACACAAGTCTCGCTCACAACGTGACTTTACTAAATCTATCTGCAATAAAATAAAATAAAATATTATTGTGGAATGTTTATCTCTGGCATCTTATTATATAATTATACGTTTTATTTAATAATCATTTTTTATTTCATGTTTGTTTATTCATTTTAACTGGTTCCCTTATTGTTTATATTTTAAGCGCATGCCCTTTAATAACATCCGGTTACATATGGAGTGACAGATGAAAACGCATGCTGCATTTCTTGGACAAAAAGATTACATTATTGTTAAATAATACACACACTGATTTTTAAATCGCATTTTGGAGAAAAATATCCAGTGAAAATGAAGCTTGTATTCTGCTGTTTAGTTGCAGTGATCTACAGCGCTGGAGCTACAACAACAGTGACAACATGTTCAAAGGTTTGAGATTAAATTATTTTGTTATTCAGGTCCAGTGCAATCTCTTGATTTAGCCATATAGCTTAAAATAGCTATATAGCTTTATTAAGCTATTCAAAATAATTTGATAAAGCTATTTATATGCAGTTTTTTCACAAAATGTTTTGTGAGATATAGATAAAAAAGTAGCAAGTATTTGTATGCACTATGGGCCGGTGCATCGATTTACCCAAAAGGACCCAAAAGAACCCAAAAGGAACCCAAAAGGAACTCAAAAGGACCCAGAAATTATAAGCAACCCAAAAGGACATGAAATAAAGGGGATATCTGGATATATTCAATGAACACTTTCATACTTTATTGAAAATGAAACGGTAGTTTTGGGGGGAAAGTGTGTGTTTAGGGTGGGGGTTGGTGGGGGTCTCCCCATTCCCTACCCCACCCCCTGATACCATATGCCTAGAAAAAGTCATAAAATAAAACGTATTGCTTCATTATATATCATATAGTAAGATATGGTAAAATAGAAGGGGAAACATAATAATACTTTGTTATTTTCAGCTCAAATAAAACAAAGCATATCTAATCAGATTTAGTGTTTGATGTGATATATAAGGCGTTATGTTATTTCTCAAAGAAAAGTCGCAACAGTATAAATTTATGTTTTTGCCAACTTTTATGTAAATTTATAAATAAATGTAATATTCATTATTTCATTCAAATTACTAATTTTCAGTATATCATAATATATTCCTTTTGAGTCCTTTTGGGTTCCTTTTGAGTCCTTTTGGGTTCCTTTTGGGTCCTTTTGGGTTCCTTTTAGGTCCTTTTGGGTAAATCGACGCACCCCTATGGGCTATCAAAAAAGCAACCCAAATCAAAGATAGTTTTAACGTTATAGCTTTTGAACATTTAAGCAAAAGATGTATGTCCATTGTTTGGATAACTGTTATTATCGAATGGTGAAGCTGACATCAATATTGCATAGGACATCCTTAAACAAGACATAAGCATGAAAAAACCTGTCATGTTCAACTAGGGTATACGGAAAAGGAGATTCGTAAAACCTATTAACATCTTTCAAATTTAAAATAAGGAAAGAAATAGTTCCCTTTATAAAACAAAAAAGAGAGTGTTTGCCTTATTACATCAAATAAAAAACATTTAAAAAATAGTCCACAAGAAGAGTTTTTCTATAAATGGTTGACAATTTGACACTTCACCTGTATTGTTATCACAAAGGTCCACAGGTTGACAGTTGACACCGAATTGGTAAACTTTTATCCCACAAAATAAAGGTTGACAGGTCGACATCAATTTGAATCTTATCCAACACAACAAAGGTCGACAGTTGACACTATTTGGGAAAATATTTTCTCGAACCCTCTCGAGAGATTAGGGTTAGGTCCCGAGAGATTAGGGTTAGTCCTCGAACAGACCTGATGAGAGATTAGGGTTAGTGCAGGAACCCACTGGAGATAATCATCCGTCGACCTGTCGACCTGTCAACCCGTTGACTCGTTTACCTGTCAACCTGTCAACCTGTCGACTTGTCTTCCTGAATACATGTAGACCTGTCAAGCAAACAATTTGTCGACCTGTCAACCCGTTGAACTGTCAACCGTCGAACTGTCAACCCGTGGAACTGTCAACCTGTCGACTCGTCTATCTGTCGACCTGTCAACCTGCCGATCTGTCAACCAAACATTTTGTTAACCCGTTGACCTGTCATCCTGTCAACCTGTCTTCCTGTCAACCTGTAAACCTATCCACCTGTTTACATGTCCACAATTTTACCAAAAAGTTCCTACGCTACATCGAATTTCTCCAAATTTCCTCATATTCTTTAGCAATGCACATTAATTCTTCAGCCCTTTGGCGTATGAAAATATTTACCGGTACTACTTATCCATATATCCTAGTTGAGCCACATTTTTCAAGTATTGGAAAAACCAACTATGACGTCACACTTAAGATAAATAAGCAAAAAAAGATATACCTACTTAAGATTTCCATCATCAGCCATGCAAAAATAATTTTTGTGTTCCCCATTTCTCAAAATGTCTCATATCTCATATACTAATTATGACCTGTTTTTGCATAATAATAGTGCCAGTGTATTCACTGAGTATGATCTTGCCGTACTAACAGATTGTGTATGATGTCACCGACTTGTTGGACGCGCAGTTTAGGGAAACAGAGGAGTTGATCAATCTCTTTCATAGTTTGTTAATTTTTCAAGAATGTTAAAACTTTTTAATATTTTTAGATAAGATGGTAAAATAAATTGTCAAAAATTTATACAAAATTATATAAACGGGGACTATGATGTAGGTAACAGTCATGTGACCATGGGTTCAATCCATCATTTTTTCTCTTACTTGTGGTTTCTTTTTTGGTTCTGTGGCCTATACATGCCCAGGTAGTGATAGTTACAGACCTGACAGGGAGAGCATTGGTTGCAATCTCCTATGCAGAGTTGTCGTTCGTTCCTCTCTCAGACACCTTTGCAATGGGCTCGCGTCAAAATTTTTGACATAAAGTAGAAAACATGATATTCCAAGGATTATTTCAAATTATACTAGTAGTTCTATATCTATTTAGGAAATATCTACCTTAAAAAACAAACATTAGCGCAGGGAATTATTTATAATGAATTAAAACAAACGCACTATTTCTTGTGCTTAACACTGTGATATACGCGAGCCAACGACAGAGGTGAATGTATGAACTGATGGTAGAGAGTGCATTGGTTGGTGTCTTTGTACACAAAGACATTTAAGGGGGGGGGGGGGGGGGAGGGGATGGGTGGAGTGTATTTTAGGTAGATTCGATAGCCAGTGGTCAGATAGCTTTGTTGGTAGAACACCTGTTTGGAGTTCACAGAACTTGGTCTGGGCCATCACATTTTCTTTTTTCTTGTTACAATTGGTGCCATTTACAACATCTTGACTTGCAGGTGAAGGTCCTGCCAACATTAAAGGTTAAAAGTAAAACTCTTAACTTTAAAATGTTAAAAAAAATCATATAAATTAACAGGCATCAGAAAGCTTTATTTTTTATTTTTACCGGTACTTTAAATTTCACATATACCATGGATTATTATCAGACATCTGTTTTTCAATCTGAATGGTTGATATATCTGTCCCAATAGCAGGGTTGTCCCTAAGACCCAGGGGCCAGGGAATTTCTTCACCTATAATGATGTAATCCCCCAGTTATTTTGGTATTCCACCTATAAACTCCTCATTAGGGGAAGAACATGTTTAAATGACATGATTGATGTTGAGTTTGTGTATGTATCATTAAATTATCCATATTCAGCATGTTCAGAAATAGATGCTTGGTTATATGAACATTAATTCATGATACAGTCAAACCTCGTTATCTCCAACTCAAGGGACCAAGAAAATACTTCAAGATAACTGGGGATTCAAGACATCCAGGGTAAAATACTTAAGGATTCAGCAGTTGGAACTTCAAAAATGACTTTGACATATTCATGGTATTCAAGATATCTGTGTTCGAGATACCGAAGTTCAACTGTTACAGTAGATAGTTCCGCAGCTGCTTTCAGACCTAATTCAAAATCTGCTGGTACTCGGTACTTTTACCAGGTTAAAATCAGAAAATGAGAAATTTGTACCTGACAAAATATTTGATGGAGAAATATTTGGTAATATATTTAATTAAAATCACTTATACAAGGTATCTTTTGTAAAAGTAATGTCAGTTTCTAATTATATTTTGAAGCCCTGTGTTTTATGATTTTTAGTATTTAAAAAAAATGAATGCTTTGAAAGTATATGGGACAGGGATTAAATTACAAGTATTCTATCACCCATAAGTGAATTCTTGCTCTAATTTACTTGACAATATAGTTATCTGGTTAATTACTGTAGATTCCTTATTTTACGCGAGTACTTAATATCGTGAAATGGCCCAAGGACGTCAAATCGCGAAAAAAATAATTCGCGAATGGGTGATTTATCTAGAGATTTTACATATATTAAAGCGTCATGAAAATTAAAGCGAGTAATTTTATTTCGCGAGTGGTGCTTCTCGCGTAATTACGCGATAATTAATTCCTCGCGTATATTTAGGAATCTACAGTATAACTGGGCTTCTGTCAGACCCCTGGGGGTCATAGTATTCAACTCTGGCTGTTAAACATGGACAAACTACAGGGACATTACTGTTGGTCTGACTGGACTCAGATGGCTGTAACATTTAAATAGGGGCACCTGTTACCACCAGACATGTTAAATAACAGCTTGTCAGATAATTGTTCTCTATCATACAACAAAAGGACCGATCAATATATCTAAAATTAATACACTGACAACTCCAAAACTTACTCAAGTTTGTGAAAATGGGCCACTTCTTTTTTTTTTTTTAATTGTTTTGTTTTTTGTTTTAAAATGATGTTCCAACTTTCATCTTAAATTTGTAATTATTTCAGGTCACCCTTTATAATTCTAAATGTTAAATGTCAAACTACTCATTTGGCATTATACAATTACATTTTGAAATACCACGTTTTATACACATGTCCATATATTTCTAAATTTTATTTCACTGCCTCTACACACAGTTAAATATCATACAGTATATCCACCTATACAAACTGAGATTACACTAACTAAAATTGCTTTAAATTGTATACATTTACTTAACCCAAGTTTATACAAGGGTTGTTCGAAAAGTTCGTGGACGATGTCAATCTTTATTATACGACTTACAAGAAATTTAAAATAAGCACAATATCATGTGTAAAAATATTTGTTTTGTTGATCTGTGAAATATCATTCCATTCGATTTGATAGAAATTAATTTACTTCATTTTAAAATCAACATGTTTTGTAACCACGGCGCATACTTAAAAGCAAGTAACATCAAAAACATAGCGTCAAGAGTTTCTTAAAAATTCTATTCCTATACATTCACACAGTATAGTCCAATACCCACGTATTAAAACCTTTTTCAATCACTTGACAATTATTTTTCTAACAATTGTTCTCGTTTAATAATTTCCTTTGTTAATGTTTAATTTCTTTTACCGCTTAACTGTGCTTTCACAAGATCAGCAACTCTGAAGCGCCTACGTCTTTCCATGACGTCCCAACTTTTAAAAGTTTTCGTTCAGATTTTTACAGTTTAACCGTTTCTTCACAGATTTTCCTCATCCGATACAGAGTCTCTGTCACTCAAATACTGCCTCTACCATTTACACACACATGCACTACTCGCTTGTGGCATGTTTTCTGATTCCTCCAACATTTTTTAGCGTTTATTCAGGATTTTCCCCAAGTATAACACAAAACTGCATCGTTATCCGCTGCTCCGACGTTCTACAACATCATCGTTTTTGTCGTTTTCAATGAGGACTACCTATCTTCTCAAATTGATTTCTTTTTACCGAAGCAAAATATTAAGCCATAATTTGGAATACGAATCGATGTAACAGTTCTTAATTCAGCCGTCTAAGATTTTTTTGTTTTGGCTCCATTTTACAAAGAAGATGACTACAGACATTATTTATTGTATTGTTTGTAAATTACTAAATTTTGACCTGCGCTGCGATCCGATTTTTGCAGTTTTTAATTCTAGATAAGTTTTAAATATATCATGATATATTTGAAAAATTTAATACAAATCATTTAAATTTATTGTTAAAATATTTCTACCAAATTTGGATAACATATGACGTTAAATAAAAAAGATATGACAGAAGTCCACGAACTTTCTGAACAACCCTCGTAGCTACACATACATGTATACAATGGAATTGCATGATCATTTTCCTGTTCAAAAATATTTGCACAGTATAGGAGACATCCTCAAATTTCTCTAAATGCATGTCCTTTGTGAATATCATCTCTAATTTCTATTTACTTATGAAATTAGGAATGGGAGACTTTGATGATTAATGTACATTATTACCGAACATAAAATCTTTTTGCGATGGATGAATTAAACTAACAAATTTAAAAAAGAAAATATGACTATTACATAATCATGAATGATCACCATTTGATGTTATTAAGTCTTGCAACATCTATAACACAGTAAACCCAACCATGTTTGTCTATATAACAAAAAATTCAAAACAAAGAAATCAATATAATTGTTGAATGACCCTTGGGAACAGTTTGAATCTTCATATTATACAGTGGATGTCTAACTGAGATTACCGGTACTTTAATTTATTATCTAGTACTGGAAAGAATTCGTATTAACATAACAAGAATTCTTTAATCAAAAGCAGTGTGCTAAATCCGAGAATAATACACTACATTATCCTGTGTATGATGAAGATAAAGAGATGTAAATTCCCACTTGTTCGTTTTCATGTGTGTGTACATTTATTTAAGCTTTGATCACATTGAATAAGACTGGGTTTGTTTGATATAAGATGGAGAGATTGTGATTTTAAAGTACACTAGAACAGACTAGGCCCTTATAAAGTTAAAATCCATGTTACATATATACTTAACTTTTTCTGGTTGTGAGTCATGTGCCAGCAGATGGATCAATATATATTTCAGAATAATTTCATCTGATAAACATATTTACTGTATGTGTGGTACGTCATGTTGATCTCAGTTACAATCAGCTAATATATTGTTTTGCAATATGTAATAAACATGTTAAAAGTATGCTTTTCTTTTTCTCAGTCACATTTTTATGAAGCCTGTGTGACAAGCATGACATATATATAATGAAAACTTAATTAGAATGACAAAAAAAAATAAAGTACAACATGCATCTCAATATTTAATTGTCAACAAGAATTTTTGTGTTGCCTAAATGGAGGATTACCATAATAAAGCTGTTTCTGCACACAGGTTGTGGCGGTTAATTGTAAGCTTAATTTTCATTTCAAGCAACATGAGCTAAGTATGTTTTTTGTAAAATCATGCAGTGCATTTCATGCAAACGTATTGTACATTGTAATACAACCTGTGTGAGACATTTTTATCATAATTACATGTGATTATTAACAAGTTGTACAACTCTGGCTTATTTTAGGAGGATCTTAAATATGAATATACAACTTGTGATCACAATGGAGGAAGGTGGAAAGTACAAGTCCCCACTGAACCAGAGAAGTGTACAATTACGAACCCTAAACCTCCCACAAGGGGGAAAAGCTGTGGTAAGTCCCCATTGAACCAGAGAAGTGTACAATTATGAACCCTAAACCTCCCACGAGGGGGAAAAGCTGTGGTAAGTCCCCATTGAACCAGAGAAGTGTACAATTACGAACCCTAAACCTCCCACGAGGGGGAAAAGCTGTGGTAAGTCCCCATTGAACCAGAGAAGTGTACAATTACGAACCCTAAACCTCCCACAAGGGGGAAAAGCTGTGGTAAGTCCCCATTGAACCAGAGAAGTGTACAATTACGAACCCTAAACCTCCCACGAGGGGGAAAAGCTGTGGTAAGTCCCCATTGAACCAGAGAAGTGTACAATTACGAACCCTAAACCTCCCACAAGGGGGAAAAGCTGTGGTAAGTCCCCATTGAACCAGAGAAGTGTACAATTACAAACCCTAAACCTCCCACAAGGGGGAAAAGCTGTGGTAAGTCTCCATTGAACCAGAGAAGTGTACAATTACGAACCCTAAACGTCCCACAAGGGGGAAAAGCTGTGGTAAGTCTCCATTGAACCAGAGAAGTGTACAATTACGAACCCTAAACCTCCCACAAGGGGGAAAAGCTGATTTTAGGAGAAAGAGAGAGAGAGAGAATTTGAAATGATAAATCTTAAAAACCAATGAGAATAAATAAAAATACTATATTTAGTTTGTGTTTTCTATCCCAGATTTTACCTGTAAGTCGGGGCAGTATCTGGACATGGAGACAGAGGATTGTAAACCCTGTGTGGCAGGGACGTATTCTCTAGGGGGTGGAGAACGCTTTGAAGAGTGGGATCTTCTACCCCCAGGATTTAAGGTCTCCGTGGAGAGCCTGGGTTCATTCTTTATCGAAGAGGAGGACAATATTAACTGTAGCTCGTAAGTTAACTTTTGTACTTAGGAAAGAAATCATAATTATATAATCCTTAATTGAGTTATCAGCCAGGTTTTAAAATTTTAAAAGACCAATTTAAATTTTCAGGCAGAATTAAGAAATCATGCTATTAATCAAGGGTGTGATAATCTTTTGGCATTATATTGCAGTATATTGCAGTATTAATCTGCAATACACAATACATTATTGGTTATATACAACAATGACAGTATTCTTTATTTTTGTGATAAATCGTGAATTTAAGGAAGAGTCTATAAATTTCTTTTCTCAGGTTTGTTTAAATTTCATATGTGTTTATCGATATGCTTAGTCCTTATGTGTACTTAATTTAGTAAATTTTATAATCAAATTACTATTAAAATAAGGAAATCCAGATCATTGGGAATTAGACTGACAAATGCAGACCTGAAAATGTTTGCAATGTTACTCCATTCCATAAAAAGTATGGAATACAAGATTTTTTTTTAAAAGAATTAATAAAGTCAATGCTTTTATGGTCATTGTTTCTATGAACTAAAATCTCATTGACATTTTTTAAGCAGCTGGTCTTTTTATAGGTTTATGACATTTCTCCTCTGATCTAGGTCACTTTGGACCCCCCGTGGGAACTACATCAGCTCCCTGGCACAGTCCTGCTCCTCCTCCCTGACCTACTCTGTCACCCTGGTCAAAGCAGGCAGTATAGAGTTTGAGTACCAGTATCCCAGCTCTGATACCATGTTCCACTTTATTGTAAGTTTATGTTATTCACTCTTAAAGATCTGCTATGATTTGTTAAGAAAAATCAGTTATTCCTCATTATCTCAAAGTAAATTGGACCTTAGAAATCAATATTCCAGGATTTCAGATATTTGATATATATCCATCAGTGTTCAAGAAATTGAATATGACTGAAGAAGTCCAGCTGTAGTTCAGCAGTGACATTCCTGTTTGTTTTAAGATCTAAGTTACGAAATAAGATATGTTTTAAAGTGGATCTACCATGATTTGTAAGGATTAGGGTTATTACTTATTTGATCTATTCCTTTCTTTGTACAGATAAACAGTGTCTGTCCTATGATGTACTGTGTAGTGTACATGTGTTAATGACTTATTTGATCTTTGTAGGTTCTCAGTCCTATGATGTACTGTGTAGTGTACATGTGTTTATGACTTATTTGATCTTTGTAGGTTGTCAGTCCTGTGATGTACTGTGTAGTGTACATGTGTTTATGACTTATTTGATCTCTGTAGGTTCTCAGTCCTGTGATGTACTGTGTAGTGTACATGTGTTTATGACTTATTTGATCTTTGTAGGTTGTCAGTCCTGTGATGTACAGTGTAGTGTACAAGTGTTTATGACTTATTTGATCTCTGTAGGTTCTCAGTCCTATGATGTACTGTCTAGTGTACAAGTGTTTATGACTTATTTGATCTCTGTAGGTTGTCAGTCCTATGATGTACTGTGTAGTGTACAAGTGTTTATGACTTATTTGATCTTTGTAGGTTCTCAGTCCTATGATGTACTGTGTAGTGTACATGTGTTTATGACTTATTTGATCTCTGTAGGTTCTCAGTCCTATGATGTACTGTGTAGTGTACATGTGTTTATGACTTATTTGATCTCTGTAGGTTCTCTGTCCTATGATGTACTGTGTAGTGTACATGTGTTTATGACTTATTTGATCTCTGTAGGTTCTCTGTCCTATGATGTACTGTGTAGTGTACATATGTTTATGACTTATTTGATCTTTGTAGGTTCTCAGTCCTATGATGTACTGTGTAGTGTACATGTGTTTATGACTTATTTGATCTCTGTAGGTTCTCTGTCCTATGATGTACTGTGTAGTGTACATGTGTTTATGACTTATTTGATCTGTGTAGGTTCTCAGTCCTATGATGTACTGTGTAGTGTACATGTGTTGATGACTTATTTGATCTCTGTAGGTTCTCAGTCCTATGATGTACTGTGTAGTGTACATGTGTTTATGACTTATTTGATCTCTGTAGGTTCTCAGTCCTATGATGTACTGTGTAGTGTACATGTGTTTATGATTTGATCTTTGTAGGTTCTTTGTCCTATGATGTACTGTCTAGTGTACATGTGTTTATGACTTATTTGATCTGTGTAGGTTCTCAGTCCTATGATGTACTGTCTAGTGTACATGTGTTTATGACTTATTTGATCTCTGTAGGTTCTCTGTCCTATGATGTACTATGTAGTGTACATGTGTTTATGACTTATTTGATCTTTGTATGTTATCAGTCCTATGATGTACTGTCTAGTGTACATGTGTTTATGACTTATTTGATCTTTGTAGGTTGTCAGTCCTATGATGTACTGTGTAGTGTACATGTGTTTATGACTTATTTGATCTTTGTAGGTTGTCAGTCCTGTGATGTACTGTGTAGTGTACATGTGTTTATGACTTATTTGATCTTTGTAGGTTCTTAGTCCTATGATGTACTGTGTAGTGTACATGTGTTTATGACTTATTTGATCTTTGTATGTTATCAGTCCTATGATGTACTGTCTAGTGTACATGTGTTTATGACTTATTTGATCTCTGTAGGTTCTCAGTCCTGTGATGTACTGTGTAGTGTACATGTGTTTATGACTTATTTGATCTCTGTAGGTTGTCAGTCCTGTGATGTACTGTGTAGTGTACATGTGTTGATGACTTATTTGATCTCTGTAGGTTGTCAGTCCTGTGATGTACTGTGTAGTGTACATGTGTTGATGACTTATTTGATCTTTGTAGGTTGTCAGTCCTGTGATGTACTGTGTAGTGTACATGTGTTTATGACTTATTTGATCTCTGTAGGTTCTTAGTCCTATGATGTACTGTGTAGTGTACATGTGTTTATGACTTATTTGATCTCTGTAGGTTGTCAGTCCTGTGATGTACTGTGTAGTGTACATGTGTTTATGACTTATTTGATCTTTGTAGGTTCTCTGTCCTGTGATGTACTGTGTAGTGTACATGTGTTTATGATTTGATCTTTGTAGGTTCTCAGTCCTATGATGTACTGTCTAGTGTACATGTGTTTATGACTTATTTGATCTTTGTTAGTTCTGAGTCCTATAATGTACTGTGTTTGTGGTTTATTTGATATATGCCTCTTTCTGTTTAGGTACAGAATAGTCAGTGTCAGTCCTATGGCAGCCATACAGGGTCACAGTTTCTAGAGGAAACAGAGGAGGGAAAGTGGTCCAAGAAGAAGGTAAACCATCAAACAAGATCCCAGAGTTAAAACATGCCATTTTCCCTTACACTGAGCATGTAGATATTTTGTTTTAGAAAGGTGGGAGTATTATATGGATTGATAAGAAAAGTACAGCAGGACTGCCTTAGATGCTTGTAAACTATGTAGTCACCCAAGGAGGAAATAGGTCATCTGCAACTAACGAGTTATCGAGTTAATTGTGAAAGTCATATGTATTAGTTTGTTTTATCCCATGTTTACCCCTTTATCCCGTGGATATGACTCATTGGATAATTTTTTCATAATCCACAGTTGTGACGTCACAATGGTTTTTGCGTTAGCGCGATGAAGTAAAATAAAGTGGAGTCCTATATAAAACAGTGTAAAACATTGGTTGTGAAGTATTAAACATGGGATAAAAAGAATCTCCCATGATTTGTAGTTGGATATGACTTTTATCCAACTCGTTGTGTGTTTTTGTCCCCTCGCCAAGGCTCGGGGATAAAAAACACGCAACTCGTTGGATAAAAATCATATCCAACTACAAATCATGGGAGATCCTATATATATTAAATAGCTCTTTTTAGTAAAATTTATTTTATCTGTGCTCTGTAGGAATACAACTTTGATAGAACAAGTAAGTTGTGAGGTATAGAACACATCCACAGCTTTGAATGAAAACATTGTGATCCCTCTTATAGCCTCTAACCATAACACGTCACTGGTAAATTATGATGATTTATCAAATTATTGGACAAGTTTCTGAATGTACACAATAAACCATTTAAACTTCATTTCATATGATGAAAATCTTGTTTCATAGCTTGCATATTTAACCATGGATGTTCCAGCATGACAAATAAGAACATTTTATAAAAAAAAGTTTCATTTTGAGACAAATTTTCACACTGTCATAATTATATTACAGCTTTCTACCTTCTCTTTTACGTGCTATATATATATATCACTCTCTAAATGTTCTCTATTAGCAAATATCTCTTGACTGCTTTGCCAAATACTTCCTGTGAATGACCATCCCGTATAGGGAGTGTGTTTCTTGTGTGTGTTTCTGATAATACATGATAATCTCTTGTTTATAAGATTTTCTCTGAATCGTGTAACTTTCTGACGATGATGAAGTATTCCAGCCACACTGTTTGTTTTTTCACTAAACTGTTTAATTCTGGTCACAGTATGTAAACATGGGATCTCTAATCCTACATCTGCTTACAGGTGCATCTGACGTCAGGCTCCAATGTCCTTGTGTGGAAGACCCTGTCTCTTTTGTCCGAGTCCTCGACCAAGACGAGCAGAAATAAACCAGTGCTGATCAGAAAAGTGGAAATCAATGGTATCTCTCTAGCTACAAAATCAGTTCTAATTAGGCAGTAATCAAAACAGTAATTTAGGTTGAAATTCTTAGATACTTGTATTAGTAAAAGTTTGAGAGTGAAGTCAGAAAACTTATTGATTTTGGATTATAGGTATAAAGTCCGTTAAACAATGTTTTAAGGAAAACATCCGTAAACATATATATGTTCTTTTTTTTCTTAAAACTTTGGTTTTGATTTACATGTATTTATTTTCCAGGAGTTGCATTCACATCCAAATGCTCTAAATGTAAAAATGGAACCTATAGCAGTGAGGGGGCAGCATACTGCTCTATCTGTAACAGGAATACCTACTCCTTAAAGGGGCAGGCCACATGTACAGGGTGTGACCAAAAGTCAGAATATTCAGGTCTAGATTAAGTTTTGTACATGTTTATCTAACTTTCTAGCTTTAAGTACAATGTAATCCTGTGGTTCTAAAGATAAAGTTTTTCTTCTGAACTTCTTTATAATCAGTGAAAAATTTTGTGTGAACTACTGAACTGTGTTGTTTATTTTAGAACGAGGAGCCAGTTCCTGTTTAAAAAGACCTGCATGTACAAACAAAGACTATTACGAAGTACAGGCTCCATGTGACCAAAATAAAAAGGTGATTTATATCTGATTTAAAAGTGGAAATAAATCTCAGCTCATTCTTTAATCAAGCATTGAGTATTATGAAAAAAAATCCTAAGATTTTCTGCAGTTAATGCATTATTAAGTGAATTTACACAATCAAGTAAAATTTCATTGAGCTTGTTTGCCCAAGTTTAAGGTCTTCTGTTAATTAGCCAACCACTTTTAAGAAATTCTGTGGAATCTAAAATATCAACTTCACAATTAGCTATAATTTTTATATTGTAGACAAGGAAACTGTATAAGTGGTTAGAGCCACAGATTTGTCGGACTGACCTGAGTGGTGCCGTTAACCTCCCTGACCCCAGTCCTCCAGAAGACTGTCCCCCCTGTAACCCTGGCATGCATTTTGTGGAGGGTAAAGGCTGTGAGTTCTGTTCTGATGACATGTATTCTGACGGAGCTAAGAGCTGTCAGGCTTGCCCTGCCTCTACTTCTCCTAACATTGGACTTGAGTACAAATGGTGGAACCAGATGCCTGCTAACATGTCGGCAAATTGTATCACATTTTCTGGTGAGAATTCTGCTCAAGTTTTATTACATGCTGAACTTGACTTAGAAAAAGGTATAACAAATATTTCTCTTGCTACTAGTAGTGAAAAAGAGATGTGACATTGCAAACATTATCTAACACAGCTTAGTCTGTGACTTTACTGTGTGCAACACAATATTATTATTGATAACATTAATTTCAAATGGCTTTGCTAAGTTTGTGTTTATGCTTTCTGTAAATGAAGTCCCATATAATTCTTAACTAAATTATATTGTAGTTTAAATGTTAATTGTCATGTCTAATGGTGTTCTTTATAATCAAGTTACTGTTAACATTTCTCTATGTAATTTTTTTATTGCAGATTCTAACTGTTCTACAAACGCCTCCTGGGTCCTTGCTGGAGACCACATCCGCACCCAGTTTGGTCGCAATAAGGATTCCTACCTTGTTTTAATTTTTAGAATACCTGGATTTCGAGGTGAGGAAAGTTCCAGTAATGACATCACCGTGGGAACCATAGACTTCCAGTTTCAACTTTCATGTGGTGGCAACTGTGAACTGATTTTCCTCTCTGTAAGTTTAAATGTGTCTTTTTTTGCTGTGGAATTAGTGTTAGTCATATCTGTCTTCCTTTTTTTAACTACAATATATGTTCTGTTTCACATTAACATGTTGATCACAAAGAAAGAAACCAAAGATTAATGACAAATATAATGTACATTTTGCCACAAACTATTTAACTCTGACAAGTTTTGTAACCCAATTATTCTTGTTGAGCTTTGATTCACATTTTCTAATTTTTCTGTCCAAAACTTGTTGGAAAATAGATCACTAGTGAGATATTACATGCACATACCTGTCATTTTAGTGATATTATCAGACCTCTTCACTTATCAGGAAAAATTAAAACAAATCTGAGTAAAGGGAGATTTTTATTATGCATTCTAAACTATTCAGACACTTATTTATCCTTTGCAGGATGAGTATGGATCTAATGGTATTGTAAAATCCTGGACAGGTGAACAGAAGAAGCAACAGTACAGGTACGTACAGGTGAATAATGACAACACAAGCAACAGTACAGGTACATACAGGTGAATAATGACAACACAAGCAACAGTACAGGTACGTACAGGTGAATAATGACAACACAAGCAACAGTACAAGTACATACAGGTGAATAATGACAACACAAGCAACAGTACAGGTACGTACAGGTGAATAATGACAACACAAGTAACAGTACAGGTACGTACAGGTGAATAATGACAACACAAGCAACAGTTCAGGTATGTAAGGTGAATAATGACAACACAAGTAACAGTACAGGTATGTACAGGTAAATAATGACAACACAAGCAGCAGTACAGGTACGTACAGGTGAATAATGACAACACAAGCAACAGTACAGGTGAATAATGACAACACAAGCAGCAGTACAGGTACGTTCAGGTGAATAATGACAACACAAGCAACAGTACAGGTGAATAATGACAACACAAGCAACAGTACAGGTGAATATTGACAACACAAGCAACAGTACAGGTGAATAATGACAACACAAGTAACAGTACAGGTACGTACAGGTAAATAATGACAACACAGGCAACAGTACAGGTACGTACAGGTGAATATTGACAACACAAGCAACAGTACAGGTGAATAATGACAACACAAGTAACAGTACAGGTACGTACAGGTAAATAATGACAACACAAGCAGCAGTACAGGTACGTACAGGTGAATAATGACAACACAAGCAACAGTACAGGTGAATAATGACAACACAAGCAACAGTACAGGTGAATAATGACAACGCAAGCAACAGTACAGGTACATACAGGTGAATAATGACAACACAAGCAACAGTACAGGTACATACAGGTGAATAATGACAACACAAGCAACAGTACAGGTACGTACAGGTGAATAATGACAACACAAGCAACAGTACAAGTACGTACAGGTGAATAATGACAACACAAGCAACAGTACAGGTACGTACAGGTGAATAATGACAACACAAGCAACAGTACAGGTACGTACAGGTGAATAATGACAACACAAGCAACAGTACAGGTATGTAAGGTGAATAATCAGAAGAAGCAACAGTACAAGTACGTACAGGTAAAAAATGACAACACAAGTAAGTACAGGTATGTACAGGTAAATAATGACAACACAAGCAACAGTACAGGTGAATAATGACAACACAAGCAACAGTACAGGTACATACAGGTGAATAATGACAACACAAGCAACAGTACAGGTACGTACAGGTGAATAATGACAACACAAGTAACAGTACAGGTATGTACAGGTGAATATTGACAACACAAGCAACAGTACAGGTGAATAATGACAACACAAGTAACAGTACAGGTACGTACAGGTGAATAATGACAACACAAGCAGCAGTACAGGTACGTACAGGTGAATAATGACAACACAAGCAACAGTACAGGTACGCACAGGTGAATAATATGACAATGTTGGACAGACTCATTAGATCAGTAGTATATGATAACTGAGTCAGCTCTGGAACTCTTAGGTAAACATGTTCAATAATGTATGCTTTATAATAAAACTTGTAATAGAGTTAATTGTCTTTTCAAAATCTTTTTAAACACTACTTTTATTAGGAGTTTTAAGTGGAGTTCTGTTCTGTGTTTTTCATCAAACAAGAATTATCTTTGAAGTTGTTTCTCAAAATTTTCGTCCCCCATTTGCATTGAACGAAAAAAGATTCCCAATAAGCCAAAGCTATGTTTACATCAATATCTATACTTACCTGCATCAACTTTTTGCATTTCCCCCGGGCTGCCTACGATCTTGCCTGAACTTTTGAGACCACCCCTGTGGTATCATACACTATGTGTATACCCATAATGCGCAAGCACTTCCGCTTCAGTTTTGTTCGGGCATCTTGGAAGAAAAACCGCGTGTTTTCTTCTGTTATTAAATATTTTAAGTAGCCTGCGATTTACGATGTCTGAATCGTACAAGATATGTCAGAAATGTAATAGAGAGATGACAGTATTAGACGATCACGCGTGTGTAACGAAGCGTTTCCTTGTGAAGTTTGTAAAACTTGGACAGAGGAAAAACGGACGTTAATGAATAAAATGATTGAACGCAAGAAATCCAAGTCTGGTAAGAAATCGGCCACGGTGTCGAATCCAGCAACAGAAATTCTCTTTGTGGGGAATAACACTTGTTCTGATTCACAAGTTTCCTCTGTGGGAAACGTAGTTGTATCGGAATCGCAACCTCTCTCAGATAGGAGTCAAAATGGCGGCAATTTGGCACAGGGTTTTTTCCCAACACAGATGGGTAATTTACCCCCTTTTATGCTAGGGAATTTTGAAACTCAGTGGCAACAGTATCAAGAAAATTTCATGCGAAATTTGATAGGCGCCAGAGTTAAAGAATTAATACATGGCGCAAGTAAACAGTCTGAAAAACAGTCTACTACACGTTCAGAGAGTAGGTCTACAAGGTTCGATAGATTTCGACCTTCAGATGATCAACACTCGAGAGATTCGGATGATGAGGATCTTGTAAGTCACAGAGGTGACAATGATCCTGTTATGAACAATTCACTAAATGACGATATTGTTGAAGTCCATGATGAGGACAACCATTCTGAGTTTGATAATTCTGTTGTAGGTTCTGTGCATACAGAAACTAATGATTCATGCACAGTAGACTGGAAGAATTTTGTTAAGAAGGTAACTTCGGAATTAAAAATAGATGCTGTGAATGTTTCTGAAAATCAGGATAGAGATTTCAAGTCGTATATGTCAGAACGCTTGATAGGGACAAAATCATCCACCCCACAGCAATCTTTACCCCTGGATGGGTACATTTTGAACACTTTAACTGATGTAGATGAGGAGTTCCAGCGTAAAGGTGCAATTCGCACTTATAAAGCATCAGATGATGAGAAGTACAGAGTAATTTCTGCAGATTTTGATAAGTATTGTACAACGCCATGACTTGATGACAACATTGAGGATAGTAGTTTCTCAAGGAAAGGTAATAAAAACTCTTACCATTTCCGTAATCCTACATTGCATTCCCGTAACAATGAGTTGTGGAAGATTGATCAAGAGTCGCGTCTTCTCCTGAGAGAATTGACATATGCTTCTCTTATTACCTCATATGTGGATAATGTAGTATCTGATGAGGACAAGACTGAGGCCCTTCAGGCACTGATGCAAGTTTTTAAGTCAATGGCTGATGTTACTTCACGTATCTTAGTGGGTGCAGTTGCAGCACGAAGAGCCATTCACATAGAAGATCTGGCTTTTAAAAACAAGGCAACTGAAAATAAGCTCCTTGTGCAGTCTACTCTTAATCCTAAACTTTTTTGTGGGAAGTATTTTGACATTCTTCACTCAAGTGCAGAAAGTTTACGTGATGCTAAAGAAACGCAACACTTGAGAAGTTCAAAGCAGAGAGATGGTTCAAACCCTAATTCTGCGAGAAAGAGGAAAAGGGAAGATTCAGCTGGCGCTTCAGAGCAGAAAGATCAGCAATCAGCCATTGCAAAGAAGGGGAAGTTTTCCTCTGACAAAAATGCAAAGACTGGCCTGGGAAGAGGGCGAAAGTTGAATTCTCAGGTCTCTTTCAAAGGCCAAACTCGTACCTCGGTCCAAGATCGTTTGGGGTTTCGTCCCCAGAAGTAAGCTTAAAAGTTCAACTAGAGACTCGCCTAGAGTTGCAGAAATCAGCCCAAGTAGGCTGTCGGATCCTTTCTTACCACAGGGAGTGGATGAAAATTACATCCGACGAATGGGTTTTAAAAATAGTCCAGAAAGGACTCAAGCTTGTTTTCTTAAAACATCCTCCAGAGACAGGAGTAAGAATCACAAATGTACAAAATGTTGCTCAAAAACAATGTATTTTCGAAGAAATAGAAAGTTTATTACAAAAGCATGCCATAGAGACTGTTCCCAGAGCCCAGGAAGGTCACGGGTTTTACAGCACCTTTTTTGTAGTTCCAAAACGAGACGGAGGGTACCGTCCAATTCTCAATTTGAAACCGTTAAATGTTTTTCTCCAGAATCAGCATTTCAAAATGGAATCTCTAAAGTCAATTATACAGGCTTTGAATATAGGAGATTGGGTTGCATCAATAGACCTAAAGGACGCATATCTACATGTTCCAATTTTTCTAGAGGACAAAAAATACCTCAGATTTTGCATAGACAACAACCATTATCAATTCAGGTCAATGCCGTTCGGTCTAGCAACAGCTCCAAGAGTGTTCACAAAACTAATGGGAGCTATAGGAGCGCATCTGAGAAGTCAACAGATTTTCATTTACATGTACTTGGACGATTGGCTGCTGAAAAATGCAGATCGAATGACATTAATGCACCAACTACAGAGAACTCTGTTGCTGTTGATGGATTTGGGTCTGGTGATAAATCAATCAAAATCAATACTACAACCAACTCAACAGATTACTTATCTGGGAGCTCTATTTCTTCTCGAACGTGGTTTGGTCTACCCAAGTTTGGACCGTTTCCACAGTCTTTGTGGATTAATTTCAACCATGGTAACAGCTTCTTTTATCCCAGCACATACATTTCTCAGAGTCCTTGGGCTTATGGCAGCCTGCATAGACTTGGTACCTTTTGCCAGACTACAAATGCGCCCAATTCAGTTCTGCCTATTGTCCCAGTGGCGTCCACATTTGGACAATCTGGATCACATGATTCAAGTCAACGATTTCCTCATTCCACATTTACTTTGGTGGACAGAGCAAGGGAACGTCCTTGCGGGGACATCTATCCTGAGTTTCAGGGCAGATCTAACATTGTGGACAGATGCCTCATCCTACGGTTGGGGAGCCCACCTAGAAGATCGCAATGTGTCAGGCAAATGGTCAGTGGAGGAACAACTATCACACATAAATCTGTTGGAACTCAGTGCAGTGGAAAAAGCCCTTCACCACTTCAAAAACAATGTCAAACACAAACAGATCCTATGGAGGACAGACAACTCAACAGTGGTGTCCTACATCAATCGCCAGGGAGGAACAAAATCTCCAGTCCTTTGTATGATGACATGGAGGATTCTGCATGGGTGTCGTCTTTGGGGTGTACAACTTCGTGCTGCACACATTCCTGGGAAAAGGAATGTGATAGCAGACCAGTTGTCCAGAGGATGACAAATTCCGAAAATGACAGAATGGAGTCTCAATCAGGAAGTGGTTCAACAGATTTTTCACATATTCTCCACTCCAAACATAGATCTCTTTGCCACAAGGGAAAATCGGAAACTAACAGTTTTTTGTTCTCCCTACCCAGATCCTCTAGCATGGGGATGCGATGCTCTAGCTGTAGATTGGATAGGGATGTTTGCATATGCATTCCCACCGCCAATACTAATTCCAAAAGTACTCAAAAAAGTAGAGCAGGAGCCTTGTGTTCTTCTTCTCATAGCTCCATTCTCACCAAGACAGTCGTGGTTTCCAGACCTACTGAATCTGCTTATAGACTTTCCAAGGGAACTACCCATAGTAAGAAACTTGTTAACACAAAAGAGGGGACAGTTCATTCATCCAAGTCCAGAAAGTCTACATTTGGCTGTTTGGAAAATTTCAAAAGACGAAGTGCTGCGAATCAATTTTCTGAAAAAGCTAAGTCGTTCATCTCTAACTCTTGGAGACAATCAACAAGAAAAATGTATGATGCTAGACTACGAATCTACAGAGAATGGTGTGCCACAAACCAGAAAGATCCTTTTGAGGCCACTGTAGCTGATTTGGCAGACTTTTTCATCTACTTGCATGAAGAACGCAGTTGTAAGCCAAACACTATTACAGGTTATAGATCAGCTATAGCTTCTATTCATAAGGGTTGGAGTAACAGTTCAGTCAGTAACAATACTGATATATCAAAATTAATTAAAGGAATTTATAATTCTGAACCAAATGTGCGACCATTACTTCCAAATTGGGATCTACCATCAGTGCTATGGAAATTGTGTGATTACCCTTTTGAACCAATGAATTCCTGTGATATGAAGTTTCTTACTTGGAAAACAGTGTTTCTAGTAGCATTGTCAACAGCTTCTAGAGTGAGTGAAATTCATGCTCTCTCTATTGGAGAAACACATTTGCGTTTAGAAAGGAACGGAATTCGACTTTTACCAAACATACAGTTTTTGGCTAAAACTCAAAGATTAGGAAAGCCATGGAAACCTATGTTCATACCAGAGTTTAACATCTTTGCAACAGACAACAGAGACTTGCTTTTGTGCCCTTGCAGAGCATTAAAAATATATCTGGAAAGAACAAAGTCTTCTCGTGGTAATGAAAAGTGTTTGTTTTTAACTTACAAATCAGGTCTACAAAAACCAGCTTCCAAAAATTCTATATCAAGATGGATTGTATCTCTTGTCAAATTTGTGTATGAACAGAATAGTGAAACCTTAAGTAGCGTACGTGCACATGACACCAGACGACTGGCAACTTCATGGGCCCTTTTCAATGGCGCAACAGTAGAAGAAATTTTACAGACAGCTCATTGGGAAACAGAAACCACTTTTACTGCATTCTACATGAGGGATGTTCCTCAAGATGAAGCTCGGTTTGCCAAGTCTTCAGTCCTTGATACTTCAAGATGGGCAAAGGGAAAAGAACAGAAATAGAGTACGCCTTTAATGGTGAGTGCAATCTTTTTTTTTACTATTATGTAGATAGTAAATCAACTTATCATTATCCCGCCCTAATTCTGCTACAAATTCTGCGAAAAGTTGATGCAGGTAAGTATAGATATTGATGTAAACTGGAGGTTTTTAAGGGTAAAACCTCTGTTTACGATATATCTATACTTACCTGCATCACCCACCCCTTATAAGTTATTTCTTTGGGTCCTAGTTTTCTAGGTCCTCACAAAACTGAAGCGGAAGTGCTTGCGCATTATGGGTATACACATAGTGTATGATACCACAGGGGTGGTCTCAAAAGTTCAGGCAAGATCGTAGGCAGCCCGGGGGAAATGCAAAAAGTTGATGCAGGTAAGTATAGATATATCGTAAACAGAGGTTTTACCCTTAAAAACCTCCAATTTGGTCCATGCCAAAATATAGCCTTTTGAATTCTGTCTTTAAAAGCATTGTGACATCATCTATACTGCATTGCTTATGCCATAGTATCATTATTTCAACTGCAGAGATTTTCTTAAATTTGTTGAAAACAGCTTTTCTCTGAGGTTAGATGTAAAACTATTGCAGAATAAACAATATACGTGTTAATTATTTTGAAATAATAGCAGTATTTTGACTCGGGTCAAAAATGCAAATAGATTTTGGCAAGCCTTGCCCTTAATCGTTTTCTTACCCTCGCCTAAATTAAATATCACTTATATTTCAAGACAGTAACCGTGTATTCTTTAATTTTGCCTTTAGACATGAAATAAAAGACACCCAGCCTTTGACCTTGACCTGGGCCTTCCAGAGCTCCGAAGAGTCTGACGGTAAGGAGGATGTGGCTCGTATCTACAGTGTCAAGGTCACCAACACACTGACAGGGGGCGCCAAGGACTGCCAGAAGTGTATGAGAGGAGTCAAAAATAACCAGTAAGATACAAATATATTCTAATGCAACTGCTTTGTAAAATGCATTTTGATTGGCCAATACAATGATGTATGAGGCAGTTAAATGAGCATTAACAAGAGTGAAACATTTTGATTGTGACATCATAATAGAACAACTCAAAAACACAACCCTTCTTTCATATAACAAAACTCAACAAAAGATGTAAACATAAAAAAAAATGCATGAATTGCATTAGAATGGAATAACTATTTTCTCAATTGTTATTTGCGACTGTTAATGCTGATTTAACGGTTGTTAACATCCATTTTACCAGCTTCATTGACACATAGCTGATAAAACTTACTTTGCAACCATTAAATCAGCATAAATGGTCATGGCAAATGAGAAGACTGCTATTGCCTAAATACCAACTGAAAGATAACCAGTAAGATACAGAGCCAAGTCAGAATCAGTTAACTCAAGATCATGATCAGTATGCAGGAAGAAATGTGTTAGTAAAAAAGTAAAAATGAAAGGAAAAGTAATGTGTATTGTAACTTTTCAGAGTAATTTCTTGTGAATGCATGAAATTCTTATTTTATTTAGGCCAAAAAAAATTATAGTTTCTCAGGCACTGCTGCATCAGGCCAAACACTGCCGCATTTATCAATGAAAAGGGAAATAACTTGATTTTCTATTTTTCAAAGTTGAAAAGGAAAATTGAGTTCTGCCCCCTTTTCATATATGCTTATTGAAAGAAATTTTGATAAGATACACAATCCAGTTCTTTTTGAAAAATGGTATTCATGAGTTAACTTCTTATAAAAATGTTTTTAATAACATTAAAGTTGAGTACATATTATAATTAATATAAGTCAGAGTACACAAAAGTAAGAATCAATTGATATCATCATTTTATTGACTGACAATAAAAAGTAGATATTATTGGCTTCAAAAAATAAAGGATGAGCCTACCGCATTTAATTTTGAAATTTTTGGCCTGAGAAATTAAAGATTAACTTTTTTTGGCTTAATGCATGAAGTTTTAATTTCCTTACAAAGAACCAGTAGTATCCAATATTAACTGTTTCATAAAGAAAATAAATAATTACAGGTGTTCTCCTTCAGGACCCTTTGTTTTACATCAGAAGTTAAAATTGTGAATTTGTTAAGGTAGTAGGTCATACAGATGTAGGATTAAATTTGTTAAGGTAGTAGGTCCTACAGATGTAGGATTATATCCTGTCCTGTCATCCATTACATTGAATTTTGACTTGTTTGATATTCTAGATGTATATCCTGTCCTGCGGGACATTATGTTGACCTTAACAACACCCAGTGTCTGCCCTGTCCTAATAATGCTGTAATCCGGACCAGATTAGCCTGGGGTGAGGACTCATGTATCAAGTGTGGGCCAGGTCTGAGGGCTAAGGGTGGTACCTCCTGTGTAACTGACTGTGTGTACACTGATGAATCCAACAGAAAATATGACTTCACAGCACTGAAAAGGTCAGAACTCAGAAATTTATTTTTAAAGTATTCAGGTGGCTAGTCTGGTTATGAATAAATGAAACAAATTGAATTTCTTTGTTTTCAAATACTAGTACTGCTGTGAAATATGTGAAGAAATATGCAAAATATGTTGAAATAAGAACAAACCAAACTTAATTTGGTAAATTATTAGTGTTTGCTGGAGACTTGTTTTCAGTGTCTTTCTGTGAAAAGACATTCGGTAATCCCTTTATAACATCAATTGAAAATTAAAGTTTGTTGTTGAATAGGTATTGAATTGAACACATTATATGGATAAGACACAAGTTCTATAACTTGCTAGGTATTTTCCTGATACAGAATTTTATAAAATTGCCATAAGTACAATTATTTGGTCAGTAACAAATACATTAATAGTGTCAAAAACTGAAACTTCTTGATAAGCAAAATGCAATTCTTTATAAAAACTAAGATTTTTTTAGAAAATCTACCACATTTGTTAATAAATGTTTGAATAACTTTATCAAGTTTTACATTCTGTTAATCAGAGAATGAATCATTGCCCCATAGAATCAAATGCACATCATTCTATAATGTACAGATTATACAAATAAACTTAAATAGGTATTTTTTGATACTCTATTCTATGGAAGTTTTCTTAAAAAGTCCTTAATTTGTCAAAAATGTGTAAAAATGTATAAGAAGTCTTAAAAAGGAGGTAAAAATATTTATCATAAAAATATGTTCCCTTCTACTTCTAGTCATCAGTGCAATAAATACAAGAGAGAGGTGGCTAGTTTTAATCAGATATTGATTTGCATGTTCAAATTTATGAGTTATCAATTGTAAATTGTAAATGAATTAGGTAGTATTGTCTGTTCAATATTCAACCAAAAACAGATTAAAATGGATCAATTCAATACTGTTCTAAAATGGGTTGAATCATGTGACAGTTTGCTTTGAGAAGAATGTAAGAGTGACAGTAATTGACCTCTCAATCTCTTTTGACAGTCCTCAGTTTGTGAAAGGAGCCAAACTTTTCACAGGTAGTGGAACGGGGTACTTTCATGGATTTAACATCTCGCTTTGTGCTGCGGAAAATACAAAGGCACTCTGTCAGAACAACATGACAGCGGTATGTTATAATAACATGTGACTATGTGTTTTGAATACATCTGCCTATAATATTACCTCTGTATGTTTATGTCTCTCTCTGCTCAGGAGAATTGCCTTATTTGATTTATAATCTCTTTTTGATTAATCATAATAAGTTAAAGTACATATACTATGACTATTATATTTAGCATGTACAATATTTGTCAGAAATTGATTTTTGCACAAGTTAGCGTAATTTTGATTTAGTACATTTCTTAATGTTCTTACTTAAGTGTACTGGTATATGTGCAAGACATTAAGCATTTTACTTGAATTAGCGGAATTTGCTCTCCACCAAAAGCACTAAAAAGAATACACAGCCAAATGTAATATTTTAAGCTCACCTGAGCTTTCCAAGTGAGCTTTTCTGATCACATTTTGTCTGTAGTCCATCTGTCCGTCCGTCCGTCTGTCTGTAAACTTTTCACATTTTTGACTTCTTCTCCAGAACCACTGGGCCAATTTCAACCAAACTTGCCACAAAGTATCCTTGGGTGAAGGGGATTCAAGTTTTTTTCAAATGAAGGGTCAGGCCCTCTTTCAAGGGGAGATAATAAAGAATTAGTGAAAAATTAATAACATCTTTTAAAAATCTTAAGAACCACAAGGCCAGGAAAGATGAAACTCATGTGGAAGCATCCTCAGGTAGTGTAGATTCAAGTTTATTCAAATCATGACCCCCGGGGTTGGGGCGGGGCCACAATGGAGGATCAAGGTTTTACATATAAATATAAAAGGAAAAACCTTTTAAAATCTTCTTCTCAAGAACAGAAAAGCCATGATTGGTCATATTTATATGGAAGCATCCTCAGATAGTGTAGATTCAAGTTTGTTAAGATAATGACCCCTGGGGATAGGGTGGGGCCACAAAGGAGGATCAAAGTTTTAAATAGAAATATATAGGAAAATATCTTCTTCTGAAGAACTGCAAAGCCATGATTAGTCATTTTGATATGGAAGCATCATCAGGTAGTGTAGATTCATGGTTGTTCAAATGATGACCCCCCGGGATAGGGTGGGGCCACAATGGGGGATCGAAAATTTTACTTGGGAACATACAGGAAAATATCTTCTTCTCAAGAACTGAAAATCATGTTTAGATATGGAAGCATCCTCAGATAGTGTAAATTCAATTTTGTTCAAATGATAACCCCTAGGGGATAGGGTGGGGTGCAGTGGGGGATCAAAACTTTTACATAAGAACATATTGAAAAAATATTTCTTCTCAAGAACAGAAAAGCTATGTTTAGTCATATTGATATGGAAGCATCCTCAGGGAGTGTAGATCCCCCCCCCCCCCCCCCCCCCCCCCGTAATCTTTTCAATTCTGAACTGTGCTTTTGCCTAGCTAATGTGCTCAGGTGAGCGATGTGGCCCATGGGCCTCTTGTTACAGTACCCTGTAAGTATCCTTGATAAGTAATTAAAAAATTAGTGTTAAGTAAAGTAAGACAAAATTTTCTACCATTAGAAAAGTGAGAAGAGTGAAAACTTTGTCCACTCCATGGTATGTAGGTCAGCTATGGTACCTACAAAGAAGAACAACATAGTTTCTTCACAGCCTGTCAGGTAGGAGATTTCAACCCAAACAGAGATGGATTATAATTATACTCCACTATGAAGGAGAGGGGGGTATACTGTTTTATCCTTGTGTGTCTGTCTGACTGTGTGTCCGTCTGACCATAACAAATTTCCGTTGCAATTTTCTAAGCAACTACTCATTGCAGATGCTTGAAATTTTAGCACACTCTTTGTTTAGGCATGCCGTATGGTGGGATTCATTTTTGTACAAATCTGATGTCAACTCTCTTTATCCGTGAATTTGTTCATTCCAAATTTTTGTCAGTTTTTTTAGCAACTACTCATTGAAGATAATTGAAATTTTAGCGCACTCTTTGTTTAGGCATGCCTTATATTGGGATCCATTTTTGAACGAATCCGATGTTAACTTACTGTTTATCCGTGCATCTGTTCATACCAAATTTCCATCGCAGTTTTTTTCATCTTCTTACTCAATGCAGTCTATATGATAGCATATATTCACATCAGATCGGGGGTATTACTAATGAGCATTGGCTCACAGATTTAATTCAAACTGAATTTCAGTGTGCCACTTCCAAAATAATTAAAGTTGATAAGAAAAAAAATACAATGTACATTTAATATATGTACTGTATATGATATTTGAAATCATTGCGGACATATTAAGGCCTCAGATTTGAAATGAATTTTTTGTATGTTTCAGTATTGGAGACTACCTGACTAAGATCTTGTCCAATCAGACCCATGAGTCAGACCTACATGATCTGTATACACAAGGAGGGATCCCAACAGAAGGTATAGATAGTTTTCAGTAGGCCCAAATTATCAAGAGTTATTTCCCGTTGGCCGCCATATTGGAGGTCAACATGCTCATATTCCTTCATTATTCAACCAATTTTAACTTTTTTTACTGGCCATTGTGGGGTAGGAAGCATTGTTTTTCTGCAAAAATATACATTTGTTAAAGTCTCCTTCATTTCATAATTTTTATTCCATAAAGATTTCCCCCCCCCCCCCCCCCCAATATTTCTGCTACTCCCTCTTTAATTTGGTAAGACAAAGAGGAAAAATTACCAGGTTGACCACCAAGATAGCGGCCAAGGGAAATAACTCCGAGAGAAAATATGTCATGTGAAAACTATCTATTGGTCATTTGTGAACATAGAGCTAAGTAGTGAATTGGAGTCTATCCACCCCTGTATATTATAGTATAAGTGATAGTGTTAATGTGTTCTCAAATAATTTCCCTTACTGTGAAATCATTTTTAAGCTCACCTGAGCCGAAGGCTCAAGTGAGCTTTTCTGATCACATTTTGTCTGTAGTCCGTCTGTCCGTCTAGCTGTCCGTCTGTAAACTTTTCACATTTTCAACTTCTCCAGAACCATTGGGCCAATTTGAAGCAAACTTGCCACAAAGTATCCTTGGGTAAAGAGGATTCAAGTTTGTTCAAATGAAGGGCCACGCCTTCTTCCAAGGGGAGATAATAATGAATTCGTGAAAAATTAATGGCATCATTAAAAAATCTTCTTCTCAAAACCACTGTGCTTGAAAATTTGAAACTTATGTGGAAGCATCCTCAGGTAGTGTAGATTCGAGTTTGTTCAAATCATGACCCCCAGGGGTCGGGTGGAGCAACAATTGGGGATCAAAGTTTTACATCTATTAGGAATATATAGGAAAAATCTTTAAAAATTTTCTTCTCAAGAACAGCAAAGCCATGATTGGTCATATTTACATGGAAGCATCCTCACATAGTGTACATTCAAATTTGTTCATATCATGACCCCCGGTGGTAGGGTGAGGCCACAATGGGCGAACAAAGTTTTACATAGGAATGCGTAGGAAAAATCTTTTAAAAAAAACTATTTCTTAAGAATAGCAAAGCCTTGATTGGTCATATTTATATGGAAGCATTCTTAGATAATGTACATTCAAGTTTGTTCAAACATGACCCCTGGGGGGTCGGGTGGGGCCACAATGGGTGATCAAAGTTGTACATAGGAATACATAGGTTAAAACTTAAAAATCTTCTACTCAAGAACAGCAAAGCCATGATTGGTCATATTTAAATGGAAGCATCCTCAGATAATGTAGATTCAAATTTGTTCAATTCATGACACACCCCCCCCCCCCCCCCCCCAAACCACTTTTATATTTAAACTTTTCAACCTTTCAAGACTGAACTTATTTCCGCTTTTTCCTAGCCATAGTGCTCAGGTGAGCGATGTGGCCCCTGGGCCTTTGTATTCATATGGGTCAATGTTCATGAATAACCGATAGTTTACTGGTTCGTTGGGACATAAATTCATGGGTAACTCTTTTATACAGAAGATTAAATGAACCAATGTGTTTACAAGTTGGGGATGTATATTAGTGGGCAAGGATGCTCTGCAAAATCCACCAACATTGGTACCCTATGAACAATCATTTATGATGATTCTACAGTAGTACCACTATAATAAAAGCTTGTCAAATTCTCCCTATATAGCATATTACAAGTAATGAATGTAAAACTTGTGAATTTCCCAATTTCAGGGGAAGCATGATAAGAAATTCCATTCTTTTAATTTCAAAGATATTTTTTATCAGCGAATGATTTTTGATGTGGAATTCATTTCTTTGATATATATATGGAATCTTGGGTTTCTGGCTTCGGACATAAAACTTAGATAAGCTCACTTTTGATATATATAGTGGAAAAAGTGAGAATGAGATCAAAAGTGAGCTCATCTAAGTTTTATAGCCCAGAGGTCATATGACCTACTTATTTTATACACTGGTTGCCAGATTTTACCCAACTCAGACACCAAAATATCAATATTAGAGTAACATAGGTGGCAGCTTAATTAAAATAATCAAGAAACTTCAACCCTATAGTTGTATTTAATTCTCACAATAATTTTATTTTCTTGCAATTGCAATCCAGTGATATACACATTGTACTTATTTACAGGAATGGAAAGAGATGTCCATTTCTTTTACAAGACAGATGAGTAAGTACATTTAAATACATTGTGTGATGTGTCAAGAAAAGTATATTATTTAGCTCACCTGAGCTGAAAGCTCAAGTGAGCTTTTCTGATCACATTTTGTCTGTAGTCCCGTCTGTCTGTCTGTAAACTTTCACATTTTTGACTTCTTCTCCAGAACCACTGGGCCAATTTCAACTAAACTCGCCACAAAGCATCCTTGTGTGATGTATCAAGAAAAGTATATTTTTAGCTCACCTGAGCTGAAAGCTCAAGTGAGCTTTTCTGATCACATTTTGTCTGTAGTCTGTCTGTCTGTAAACTTTTCATATTTTCGACTTCTTCTCAAGTTTGTTCAAATGAAGGACCACGCCCTCTTTCAAGGGGAGATAATAAAGAATTAGTGAAAAATTAATAGCATCTTTTAAAAATCTTCTACTCAAGAACCACAGGGCCAGGAAAGATGAAACTCGTGGAAGCATCCTCAGGTAGTGTAGATTCAAGTTTGTTCAAATCATGACCCCTGGGGGTAGAGCGGGGCCACAATGGAGGATCAAAGTTTTAAATAGAAATATATAGGAAAAACCTTTAAAAATCTTCTCCTCGAGAACAGCAAAGCCATGTTGAGTCATATTTATATGGAAGCATCCTCAGGTAGTGTAGATTCAAGTTTGTTCAAATCATGACCCCTGGGGGTAGGGTGGGCCACAATGGAGGATCAAAGTTTTACATAGAAATATAAAGGAAAACCTTTAAAAATCTTCTTCTCAAGAACAGCAACGCCATGATGAGTCATATTTATGTGGAAGCATCCTCAGGTAGTGTAGATTCAAGTTTGTTCAAATGGAACTGTTCAAATGATGACCCCTTGGATAGGGAGGAGCCTCAATGGGGATCAAGTTTTTACAAAGGAATATATGGAAATTTTTTTAAAAAAATCTTTTGAAGTACAACAAAGCCATTTGTTATATTGACATGGAAGCATCATCAGGTAGACATTTAAAATTCAAGCCTTCATCTTCTTCTCAAGAACCACTGGGCCAATTTCAAGCAAACTTGCCACAAAGTATCCTTGGGTAAAGGGGATTCAAGTTTGTTTAAATTAAGGGCCACGCCTTCTTCCAAGGGGAGATAATTATGAATTCTTGAAAAACTAATGGCATCATTTAAAAAATCTTCTTCTCAAGAACCACTGTGCTAGAAAATATGAAGCTTATATGGAAGCATCCTAAGGTGTGTAGATTCAAGTTTGTTCAAATCATGACCCCCAGGGATAGGTTGGGGCCACAGTGGGCAATTAAAGTTTTACATAGGAAAACATACTAGGGAAAATCTTCAAAAATCTTCTTCTCAAAACAGCAAAACCAAATCATGGGGCCACAGTGGCGATTAAAGTTTTACATAGGAAAACATAGGGAAAATCTTTAAAAACCTTCTCAGGAACTGCAAAGCCATGATTGGTCATATTTATATGGAAGTATCATCAGGTAGTGTGCATTCAAATTTGTTCAAATCATGACCCCCTGGAGTAGGATGGGGCCACAATGCCATTGGGCAATCAAAGATTTACATAGGAATACGTAGGAAAAATCCTTAACAATCTTCTTCTCAAGAACAGCAGAGCCATGATTGGTCATATTTATATGGAAGCATTCTCAGTAGTATAGAATTGAGTTTGTTCAAATCATACCTCCGAGGGTAGGGTGGGGCCACAATGGATGATCAAAGTTTTACATAGGAATACATAGATAAAGTCTTTAAAAATCTTCTTCTCAAGAACAGCATTGCCGTGATTGGTCATAATAAAATAAAAGCATTCTCAGGTAATGTTGATTCAAATTTGTTCAAATCTTGACCCACCAGGAGCGTAGGGGGGCCACAACAGGGGTACAATTACCGATAAATATCGGGAATCATCGACACAATATTTCCGACAATAATATTATGTACTGCAAAAATCCCCTGTCAAAACTAAAACTTAAATGGCTCTTGATAAAAATTGTTTAACCAGAAAAGATAGGCTTTTCACTGCTAGTACAATTAAGTAGCTCATATGTGAAAACATTCCCTAGCACTTAATCTATTAAATACTAGTACTTTACTAGTAATAATGTACTTCAGTTACATTAACTGAACTAGTACCTCATATAACAGCAAACTTCAGGACTCTGACAGCTACTACTGCAATTAACAGCTTCCATTACTGAGTGAAAACAAAGAAGAGAAAATGATACTCAGCGTCTGTGTATTTATTTATAGAACTCCCAAAACCCGCAATAATTAATTACCAGTCATGAATAATAATTCCATCCCGTAATTAATAATTAGCCAATCATACATAATCATCATCTAGTAATGAAATTTCACTCTTGTACATCGTACGTAAAATTATTACAATACGTAAATAAATTAATAAAATATAAGTTTACACTTTAAATACACATTTAACATTTAATTAAACAGAATCTACAATCAAATCTTCCGCCAAAATAACTACAGTAAAAATAGATCAATACACCGTGAAGCATCATGGGAAAATACACAAGTAAACAAAGTATGGCGGCGGCAAAACTTACGGAAAACACATGCTGAAAGATGCTAAAATACATTGTTCACATGATAATTAACTTAAGGTAATCATGAAGTAATCCTAAATTACAGTGCAACTTTCTAACTATGTATTTGCAAGTAAGTAAACAACAAATGTATATAATTAAATAACTCAACATCCAAGACATCATAAGACATGAAAAAGGTGGGAGCGATCATTACATATCAATAAAAATTTCTTCTTAAGAACAGCAAAGCCATTATTAGTCATATTAATTCAAAAGCATATTTAGGTGGTGAAGATTCAAGTTTGTTTTAATCATACCCCCATCCCCCATCCTTTATTTAACTTTTCAATACTGAACTGATTTCTGCTTTTTCCTTGCCAATTCTATTGGTTTGATAGGAAAATATTCTAATCATGAGTTTTAGCAATTTTTAAAACTATACAAAATGTTTTACAAAATTATAGGATTATTTTTTTTTGTATCCCATGTCCTTAAACTTCGGTATCTTGAACATCGATATTTTCAATACCATGGATATGTCGAAGTGAGCTAGAAGTCCCGTATGCGTTATCTTTAATTATTTTCCCTTGAATTCTCAGAAAACCCAATTTTTTTTTCTTACCCATAGAGTTTGATGTAAAGAGGTTTGATTTGTATAATAATGACATAACTTCAAGTTAAAAAATTACATGCTTATAAACTATGAAGTTCAGCCATTTTTTTTCCTTTTAATTGGCGTAGATCAGAAAAAGCTACTTTTGATTCTTAACACAGTTACTGTCAAACCATTAATTTTCATGGTGTTTTTGTTGTTGTTGTTTTGATGTCCTGAAGAGACCCACAAAGGACTATATTCGGTAATGACCAATATTTGCCCCCAAAATCAAACTTTGACGGAGAAATATATAATTATGTTCTAGAACAGGGAGATATCTGCAGACTTCAAAGCACTAAATATTTTCATAAACCATGACGCCATATGTTTGATATGACGTCAGGAAAATGACGTAAATTCAAATTTTCCATGATTTCTACAGAAAAAGGTATATATTACGTCGATATTTTGAGTAAAAGTCACCGAGCGCAGGTCTGCTCCAGCTCAGTATTTTGATATAATGTGTAGAATGATAATATCAATGAAATATGTAAAGACTGTTCTGGAGCAAGCCTGCGCTCTATAAATTTTATAGTAAAAATTGAACAAATTTTATCCATTTTTCCCTCTTTCTGAAAAATAATGCAAAATCTTAATAGTTTGTGACGTCATAGAAACAAAAATTGCTAATAACCTACTTTGAAACTATAATATTTTTTGTTGATTTAGATTTCTCGTACAATATATACAATTCAGCACATTTCAAGAAATTTTCAAAATATGACTTTTGTGGGGGCAAAAATATGCATATACCACTAATAGTTCTTTGTGTCCTCCACAGAATGTCACTATTTCAAACTACTTTTTCATGTGTTCTCTTTGCAAGAAGTCAAACCTCTGCATACCAGTTATATTCCTCAAACCTAGAAAAATTTGACACACAAATACAAAAAGCTTTGAACAGGTTTTTTTCATTGATGATCATTATTAAAAAAATGTTGAGAGTGATAGCTGATTTACAACATTATAAAAAGGAATTTCAAATTTGAAATTGGGGTGGGATGGAGGGTCAGCCTTAGGAAATAGTAATTTATTTAACAAAAATATCATATGAAGTCTTCATTTCACAGGAAAACCCAAGCCTGTCCCAAAGGAAGAAAGACTATAGTCTCACTGAAGTGTGATCAGCAAAAGAAAGGACAGGGTGTGATTGAGATCCCCGCTAAATGTCCCGACGGAACGTGTGATGGATGTCTGTTCCACTTCCTGTGGACGACAGATCAGGCTTGTCCCCCATGTGTGGAGGAGGACATACAGATCATTGTGGGGGAGTGTCTAGATGAAGTACAGACTGTCCATTATAGTGCCCCAAAGTGAGTCTGGGAACACCATTACTGACTCTATTTCTGTGTATAGTAAATAGGACGGTATCTTAAGGTTTATACAAGACTTGGAATATACAGTGTTTGAAATAACCAGACCGCCCGAGACTCACACATTTTGCAGCAGGCGAACAAATTTGCATGTATTGATGCCCGGCTAGACGTGTTGTAATTTTCGACAATTAAAATTTATATATTTGATAAATCTCTCTCGTATCAACTAAAAGTATCAGTAGCAAAGTGTAACAAGCCCAGAGGAAAAATTCATCAGTCTATAGATTCAGGATCGAAGTTATGGTTAACTGGTTCCAGTCACATAATGGTTAAAAACAAAGTAATAAAAGACAAATAATATTTTCTCGGGCTATTAGATCTTTGGCAGGGCTGACAACTTAAATACTAGCAGTCAGCACTGCATATTTCAATTTGCTAATTTTACAGTGAGTTTCAAACACTGGGAATATACAGTGAAACTTGTCTAATCAGACTTGCACTGGTGTACTAATTATACGTCAGAAGAAATAGGGTGTCTGATTGCATATAGTGTAAAGAACATGGAAAAAAGGTGAAGTGAGAATAAAATAAAAGGCAGAATGTACAGTGAAAGGATTGCATGGATTTGGGATTAAACAGCTTTTAATGTAATATGCACTTTTTTTTTATTAAGCCAGTGTACAAAATTCTTAAATAAATTTAATTTTTTAGGTCACCTGAGTCACTCAGGTGACCTATTGCTATCCGTTCTCGTCCGTCGGCGTGGCACTGCATCGTGTGTAAACATTTGAACATTTTTTGCTTCTTCTCTGAAACCGCTTAACCAATTTCAAGCAAATTTGGCATATAGCATCTGTGGGTGAAGGGGAACAAAAATTGTGAATTTCATGGTCCCTGCCCCCCTGGGGCCTGAGGGGTGGGGCTAAAACCACCAAAAATAATGCAATCTTTAAAAATCTTCTTCTTTACTCCAGGACATCAAACAGTCAAACTGTTGGCATCATTGTAATAAGCAGTGAGCCCTCTACCAAAATTGTGAAATTCATGGCCCCAGGGTCAGGGGTTCTGGCCCCAGGGTGGGGCTATATAGATCATATAGTGAAAGTGCATTAATTCTTTGAAAATCTTCTTCTCTGCTCCTAGGTATTAAATAAAGTAACTAAGTACATAGTTATGAAGAGCAAGAGTGCCTCTTCCAAAAGTGTGAAATTCCTGGCCCCAGGGTCAGGGGTTCTGGTGTAAGGGCAGGGCTCTATTGATTATATAATGAAAATGCATTAATTCTTTGAAAATCTTCTTCTCTGCTCCTGGGTATTAAATAAAGTAACTAAGTACATAGTTATGAAGAGCAAAAGTGCCTCTTCCAAAATTGTGGAATTCATGGCCCCAGGGTCAGGGGTTCTGTTGTAAGGGTGGGGCTCTATTGATTATATAGTGAAAATGCATTAATTCTTTGAAAATCTTGTTCTCTGCTCCTGGGTATTGAATAAAGTAACTAGGTACATAGTTATGATGAGCAAGAGTGCTTCTACAAAAATTGTGAAATTCATGGCCCCAGGGTCAGGGGTTCTGGTGTTAGGGCGGGGCTCTACTGATTATCTAGTGAAAATGCATTAATTCTTTGAAAATCTTCTTCTCTGCTCCTGGGTATTAAATAAAGTAACTAAGTACATAGTTATGATGAGCAAAAGTGCCTTTCAGAAAATTTTGAATTTCTTGGCCCCAGGGTCAGGGGTTCTGTTGTTAGGGCCGGGCTCTATTGATTATCTAGTGAAAATGCATTAATTCTTTGAAAATCTTCTTCTCTGCTCCTGGATATTAAATAAAGTAACTAAGTACATAGTTATGATGAGCAGGAGTATCTCATCCAAAATTGTGAATTTCATGGCCCCAGGGTCAGGGGTTTTGGTGTTAGGGCGGTGCTCTATCGACTATATAGTGAAAATGCATTAATTCTTTGAAAATCTCCTCCTCTGCTGCTGGGCATTAAGGTGATAAACTAAGTACATAGTTATGATGAGGAGGTGGGCCTCTTCCAGAATTATGAAAGCCATGGCCCCTGGGTGAGGGGTTCTGTTGTAAGGGCGGGGCTCTATTGATTATATAGTGAAAATGCATTGATCCTTTGAAAATCGTCTTCTCTGCTACTGGAGATTATTTAAACAAACTAAGTGCATGATTATGATAGGCAAGGATGCCTCTTCCAAAATTTCAAATATATGGCCTCAGTTTATGGGGTTCTTGAGGAAGAGGGGCTCTATTGATTATACAGTGAAAAAGCATTAATTCTATTAATTAATAATTAATTAATCCTGTCTGCTCCTTAGTGTTGAGCTGATAAATAAATTGCTTAGCTATGATGAAAATGTGAGCTTCAAACAGAATTTTTAAATCTTGTGGTCCTTGGGTCAGGGGTTCTGGCATAACTAAAGGGGGGGGGGGGGGGCTTTTGATAATATAGTGGAAAAGTGTTAATTCTTTGAAGTCCATAGGTATGATGATGAGGGTAACTCTTCCAAATTTGTAAATTTCTTGACCCTTGGTCTTGGGTTCTGGTGTTAGGGTAAGGCTTTGTTGAATCTGTAGTGAAAATGCATTGTGCCTGTGAAATTCTTCTCTGCTTCTGGGCATATCGGAAGAAAACTGAGTAAAAGTTTAAAATTAATGATGTAAGTAAGCGTATTTCTACCAGATATTTGAACATCTGGACCATTTGTCTAAGGATTCTAGTCCTGGGCAGGGCTCTATTAATTTGTATTCTACTGAGAGAAGTTATTCCCCTTTTCCATTCACCTTTGATAATTAATCCCTGTAAATAATGTATTTGAAAGGTTGATAGAATAAGATAATTATGCAAGAATGTTTATCATATAATTCAAAAACTATTTTCTTAGTTTTAATAATCAGGTTGACCTGTAAGTAATAGATAAATAAAAATGAGACAAAAATAACTTATCTTATTAAAAGTTCTTCAAAGACCATAAGAGAGGTCAATGTTAGAGCTCTTAATATGGGTTTAAAAATAGTACTGAAGCACTAATAGTTCGTTAATAGTCTGCATGGTGAAAGTGTTAAGTGGGGGACAAATTAGAACTTAATTTATGAGCTGATACTGAATACTAGACTAATTATTTTGTTGATCCTGATATTCCTACTTCTCTTGCTTTAGGGCAACAAAGCTTCATCTATCAGTGTATTTAACTTCTAAATTGTTGTATTATACTCAGGTGACCGTTAAGGCCCTTGGGCCTCTTGTTTTTCTGTAAAAGAGATATTTTGAAACAAAGTGAATGATATTATTTTGAAGATACTGCAGACCAGACAAAAATATGAAAAACAAGGAACAGAGGAAATGCAGATTGAAGTTAGCTGCTCTTCCATTTGTTGTAAGTTTCAGATTATAGAATACAGTATATAGTATATCCTGAAGTATAGAATAGTTACAGTGTATAGTACTTCCTGTAATATAGAAGTTACAGTGTGTAGTATATCCTGTAGTATAGAAGTTACAGGGTATAGTGTATCCTGTAGTATAGAAGTTACAGTGTATAGTATATCCTGTAATATAGAAGTTACAGTGTATAGTATATCCTGTAATATAGAAGTTACAGTGTATAGTATATCCTGTAATATAGAAGCTATAGTGTATAGTATATCCTGTAATATAGAAGTTACAGTGTATAGTATATCCTGTAATATAGAAGTTACAGTGTATAGTATATCCTGTAATATAGAAGCTATAGTGTATAGTATATCCTGAATATAGAAGTTACAGTGTATAATATATCCTATAGCATACTTGCACTAGACTTTAAACACAATTGCATAATTAGAAGTTATTTTCAAAATTGATGTTAATGTCCTTGTGTAATGTTAATTGGATTTTATAAAGGGAAACTCTCTTCTATACTACACAGACTTGTAGAAAATTAGAATTGTTCATAGAGTGCAGTTTTCTTAATGTAAAAAAGAAATTTATCTTAATAAGGTAAAGTTTTATTTGAATACAGAGGTATTTCAAATATTAAGTGCTCATGGAAAAATTATTTTGGTAATGTGTATGTAAGCTTTTATGCACTGAGTTTTCTATCTTTTCCTATTGCAGCTAAAAGTGGGCATTCCCTCTGCAGTTGGAGTGGGAATTCTGCTGTTTTTATGTGTGATTTACTGCTGGTGTAGAAACAGAAAGTAAGACTTTTATTATTTTCACTGATAAATTCTTACCAATGCTTTACTTTCAACTTTTTCTTATTTCTTTCAATTAATTTAAAAACTTAAAACTGGAATAATTATTTAAATATAATTAACACAACTTGAAAAGGGAAATGGCCTTCAGCAAATTTGAATCTGGTAATTGTAGTTTTTTCAATACATTGTGGTGAAATTAATATATAACAATACTACAATCTGATAATCTAAATACATGACATTTTTATTGTTTTAACTGGCATTATCTTCTATAAAAACTTTGTTTTAAAAGATCTTTCTGTAGGTGTGTTTACTGCTTTGATAACTATTTTTGTCTAACCTTATAATATGTTGTATGTAATAGCAAGGGAATACTCCCAAGCTCTGAAAAGGATAAGTATGATTAATAAATAAATGTATAACAAGAATTTTAGTGGGAACTTGTGTACAGTTAATGAATGGCCTATTTATAGACGTGAGCAGGGTTATGTTTACATTGAGGACTTGTGTACAGTTAATGAATGGCCTGTGTATAGACTTGAGCAGGGTTATGTTTACATTGAGGACTTGTGTACAGTTAATGATTGGCCTATGTATAGACTTGAGCAGGGTTATGTTTACACTGAGGACTTGTGTACAGTTAATGATTGGCCTATTTATGGAACTGAACAGGGTTAAGTTAAGTGTATATTGAGACTTGTGTAAGTTAATGATTGGCCTATTTATAGACTTGAGCAGGGTTATGTTTACATTGAGGACTTGTGTACCACTAATGATTGGCCTATTTATAGACTTGAGCAGGGTTGTATTTACATTGAGGACTTGAATACAGTTAATGATTGGCCTATTTATAGACTTGAGCAGGGTTATGTTTACATTGAGGACTTGTGTACCACTAATGATTGGCCTATTTATAGACTTGGGCAGGGTTGTATTTACATTGAGGACTTGTGTACAGTTAATGATTGGCCTATTTATAGACTTGAGCAGGGTTGTGTTTACATTGAGGACTTGTGTACCACTAATGATTGGCCTATTTATAGACTTGAGCAGGGTTATGTTTACATTGAGGACTTGTGTACCACTAATGATTGGCCTATTTATAGACTTGAGCAGGGTTGTATTTACATTGAGGACTTGAATACAGTTAATGATTGGCCTATTTATAGACTTGAGCAGGGTTGTGTTTACATTGAGGACTTGTGTACCACTAATGATTGGCCTATTTATAGACTTGAGAAGGGTTATATGTATATTGAGGATGTGTGTAAAGTTAATAATTGGCCCTCTTTCATAGACTTGAGTACAAGTATATGAAGTTGGTGGAGGGTTCTGGCCCGAACTACGATGGGGAGTTGCCAGGTGTCGACTCGTGTGCCCTAGAGGATGGGGAGGATGAACATTTTGATACAGTGTCCTTCTCAGAAACCAAGAAAAAAGGACTATTCAGTAAGCTCAGGGGAAAAAAATACAAGGTACGTCATCAGGAATAGTGGTATAATAAACAATCAACTATGAAGTTAACTCAGAGGGAAAAAATACAAGGTATATTGACAGGAATAGTGGTATAACATACAAAAACCATTCAGTAAGCTTAGAGGGGAAAAAATACAAGGAACATTGACAGGAATAGTGGTATGTTGTACAAAAACTATCAGTGAGCTCAGAGGGGGAAATACAAGGAACATTGACAGGAATAGTGGTATAACGTACAAAACCCATTCAGTAAGCTTAGAGGGGAAAAAATACAAGGAACATTGACAGGAATAGTGGTATATTGTACAAAAACTATCAGTGAGCTTAGAGGGGAAAAAATACAAGGAACATTGACAGGAATAGTGGTATATTGTACAAAAACTATCAGTGAGCTTAGAGGAGAAAAAATACAAGGAACATTGACAGGAATAGTGGTATATTGTACAAAAACTATCAGTGAGCTTAGAGGGGAAAAAATACAAGGAACATTGACAGGAATAGTGGTATATCGTACAAAAACTATCAGTGAGCTTAGAGGGGGAAATACAAGGAACATTGACAGGAATAGTGGTATATTGTACAAAAACCATTCAGTAAGCTTAGAGGGGAAAAAATACAAGGAACATTGACAGGAATAGTGGTATATTGTTAAAAAACTATCAGTGAGCTTAGAGGGGAAAAAATACAAGGAACATTGACAGGAATAGTGGTATATTGTACAAAAACTATTTAGTAGATGCTCATATAAATGCCCTCTGGTCTGATATGTCCAAGATAAATGGGTATTTTGATACTATAATTTTAAAGTTCCATCTCTCTTAAGCAAACAAGTCCCCGAAGTATCTGACATTTAAACTTAAAGTTCATGTGTTTCTATGATCTTTCAAAATTCTAATTTCCCAAACCAAAGTACATGTAACTTAATCTTTATTGAAAGATGCACATTTTAAACATCTTATTTGATACAGACTGTGTAAAGATCCAGATGTAAAGTAATTTTTATGCTCTATAAACCTATTTTAAACTTGTTGATATTTTTGTTTTCAGTCGCATGATGACAACCCGTTTGAGACTTCTCACACAGAGAAACTCCCTCTCACATAATAAAACACCCTGTGTTGCCTAAGTGACAGAAGGGATGATACGCAACAAAGCTTCCTTGACAGTTTACAGTGGACCAATAGAATCTCTGTCTGGCCTATCGTTAGCCTTTGTTCTCTTTGATTTGCTCACTACTGTTTTTCAATTCATGTAACCATTGATGATTTTAATCTAACATAAAATGTCAATGATTAATTTCATAGTAAATATATCAAATATATGCTGTTAAAGGATGTCTTTCTGAAATGGTTTTACAGGGTTTTGTAGGAAAATATTTCCATATGCTACACAAATATTTTTGTTTGAAATATACTGTAAAGTCACTAATTTTCTTGGGGGTTTAATTTTCATTGATTTCAAGGTATGAAGAGACCCATGAACTCTGACAACCACGAAATGTAAAAATTCGTATATAAAACTAAAATTTCATACATAAAAACATAAATTTCATATATAAAACTTAAATTTCATATATAAAACTTAAATTTCATATATAAATTATTCAACAATTTTTCATCCACGAAATTAAATCCCCATGAGCCCATATTTTTTCCTCAAACCACAAAAATTTGAACCCACAAAAATATATGTGATTTTACAGTATCATGAAATCATTCTGTTTAATTGATTAATACATATTTATGTACACATTCCTATTAAGATACATTTTTTTTACCTACATTCCAAACCATTTTACATTCCTAGAAGCTTTTTGTCTCTGTTTTAAGACATTGCTAACCTTGCCTGACATTGTTAAGAACTCCTTCTCTTTATCTGTATGTATTAGATATTTTTCAAAGCAGAAGTGATTTGTATGGAAATATGTCATTTTTAAGCATGAAATTTTTGTTTATGTAATTAAATAAGTTTTGTTACCTGTGCAATGAGACGCACATTATGTTCTTCTTGGTTTTGAACCAAGTAATGTATGATTTTCATGAAAAGAAAATTGAAAATGTTTGTTTAAAGAAGTTAATATCTCTACTGCATTCTTGATGATGTTGGTGACATTTCAAATGGTAGTCAACTCAACCCATATGGGGGATGAGGAAATTTTTGAAAAAAAAAATTATGGTGCTTTGTAGAATGAAAACAGGGATCTTGTCACTTGTTTATATGTTATGACTGATGAGTTTCACACCTCGTATAGTACTATTAAATAAAATGAATCGTAATTTGGTGTGAAAGGAGAAAGTAATGGAGATAATCCCTTACTGTAGTGGAGAAAAATGTCATTCAGAGTAAAATTATATAACTTATAGCATACATGTCAATTTATTTTGTGTGTTTTCATGTTCTGGAGAATAATTGTTACACATGATTTCAATTATTAAAACATCAGTCATTGATTGTAGTATTCAGAATACAACACTTTATCATCATGTTCTCTATAGAGAAATATCAGGAAGCATAGGCCTCTGTTAATTTACATCTTTTTAATGTTTTTTTTGCAGGTGAAACTCACATGTGGCATTACATTGACTTAGATTTCATAGTTCACATTTTAAAGTTACTATAATCTATTGTTTAATTTGTCCCAGCAAATTCATTATGAAATCCACTCTCTAAGAGTCTCTTTGTTTAATACCTATTTACTTTTGTTAGTTTTCTGAATATTTTCCTATTTTTGTTGTTTATTTATTTACTATAGTATATAGATAGTTTTATTTTGTTTTTTCTTTTATTAGGGATAATATATATAAAGTGTAGTGAGTGTATTTTTCTCCTTGCATTATTTAATGGTTGTGGGCACGATGTGATCTGTAATTAGACAGAGATAGTATCACATTAATTGAGATCATATTTAGATAAAGATCTAGTTTGTAGACATATTCATTCAAAGTTATATTTCTTTTCTTTAATATTGTATTTCTTTGAGTAAGTGGTATTTTGTGTGACTTTAAACTTTCCAATACTTGAGAAACAATAGAGGTACATGTATTTTATTACAAATCAATAAGAATCTCGCATGTTTTATTTATTCTCTACTATAAATGTTTGTTGTGAATAAATTGTAACTATTTCTTTAACAGCAGAGGGTTAGGAAGTGGATACTAGATGCTTTATTGAATTTGTCCTTTGCTTGTACTAGGTATAATTAACAAAAAGTCTTATTTATAGAAGAAGTATAAATTTAAAAAAATAATTAAACAACATTATTATAAATGAATACAATGTTAGTATCTCTACTGTCCTTTGCTTGTATAAGGTACTAGGTATAATTAACAAAACATCTTATTTATGTAAGAAGTCTAGATTTTAAAAAAAATATTTCAACAACATTGTTATAACTGAATACAATGTTAGTATCTCTGCTCAAAAAGGGTGAGAATTCCAACTCTTTCTTATTTTCCAGCATAATGGCTTGCTTTTGTTTAGGTGTCAAGAATTCAGTATGTGCAATATGACTTAGTTATCTTGTTTGTGATATTACTGGTGTGTGTTTTCTAAATGTTTTGGTAATTTGAAAGCACGGCGCATATAATGAAGTTAACATATAACAAAGTATAAATGAGTTATTTAAATGTAATCCTTTTTTTTTCCTCATCAAACATTAAAAAGTGGAACCAAATGTGTTGTATGTTTTCTTCTTGGGTACTAAGGCTTTAGGGTTGCGAACATTGAATCAAATAACAGTGTATTATTTGGGGGTACTGTTGTATGGGAGCTCATTTTAACCCATTTTGTATTTTCCCTAATTGGCTTGACAGATGGAGTTTTAAGAGTGGTCCTAACATTCCTACCTTAGGTGTGAATTTAAAAAAAAAAGTAGACACATTGATGCTAAAACGAGAAAATTGAAAATATATATATAGAGAGAGAGAGAGAGAGTGCTTAGCTCGGGCAAATTATTTAAATTTAAGAAAATATTAGGTTTCATAAAATTGTACGTTTCAAAACCCAAATATTTCTGGCCAAGTACGGCAACATTGATTCACTCCACTTGTACGCGTTATAGGTGGAAATCTTGCCAGGGACAAAAGAACTTGGATTGTGTTTTTGAGAACAAGATTCAATCGACCGAAGCAAGAAAGCTCAGTTGGTAGAGCACATTTCCGAGTTTAGCGAGCCAGGGTTCGAATCCTAGGTCTGGCCCGGTCCGTTACATTTTCTCTCTCGCTCCCCCCCCCCCCCCTTTCAAGACTGCATATAGTCCTGGCTGTATGTGACCATATTAAGAAAATCGAACCTATTTAATTTTTATGTACATGGAGGTTGGGGTGTTTTGTAATAGACCTTGAATCCTTTTCTCTCTCTTTTTTTTTAATTTTACACACACACACTTAATTTAAATCTCTTGAATGTTTGTCTCCATATATAATTATTAGTCATCAGTCCGCAGTATCTATAACTTCACAACAGCATACCACTATTACGGGATGAAAATGAGGCAGATTCAGGTACATTTCAAAGAAGGAATTGCTTTGTATGAGTGGAAATTGGTTTTGTAAAGCTGCATGTATATTAAAGGCTTAACATTCACACATATTATCCTCGATTTCATTAATCGTATAGAATCCTTTTCACATATTATCGAATTACATGTACATGTGTTTAATCAATGATCGCATTCCAGAAAAAAAAGGATGAATTGTGAATTTTACCTGGAAACTATATATGTAAACTATATGTAATGTCTCCTTCAATCACCGGCTAATTGTAAGGATAATTCAGTAAAATATTCAGTGTTTGAAGAATCCAAAAGCGTATGTGTAAGTATGGGCTGTTTTTCTTCTTGAACATCTCAGAATAATACAGTATTACTACAATAGTACGTAGGAGTTGCTCCAGGAGATTTTGGAGTGGGTGTGGGGTGGGGGTGATGTTAAAAAAATATTTATATATCTTAATTTTTAAATAAGTATACATTCGGTACTTATATTCAAATTAAATATTTAAGGAGCACAATGTCCAAAATTATACCGAAGCCCCCACCCCACCCCCTTTAAACCCTTTAAATCCGCTACAGCATGATAACAAAAATGAAATGTACAAGTCGGCAAAAATTTCAGCCCTGAAATCTCTGTTACGCTTCCGAATAATTTAATCCCTAAAAAAATCTGAAGGCCAAAGAACTTAAGAAATGTTTACACCATGTATCTTAAAAAACTTGTATAAAAGTAAAAGATTAAATATGCTACATTTCACAAAAGTCCCTATTATGTGCAGGTCATTCGAGTTTGACCAATTAGTGGACAGAACCCTGTGGGACTCCGGCCATCGGGACGGATCAGCTGCGAGACAGCGATCGGAGGACAAGTTTGTTATCACAGGACCTGTACAACATGGCTACAAAAATTACAGGGATATTGTTAATTCTCTCTTTTGCATCAGGTACTTATGCATTTTAGACTTTTCTATTACTAACTCATTCTAATTCTATTCATTTAATGAATTATGTATATATACGTCATGTATATATAATATATAAATCGCTTTTCCAGTTGTGAAAAAAAAAATCTTGATTATTTGCATCAAATAAACACGTAAATGTAATTGAACAACAGAGAAAATAATACAAAAGCTTCTCATCTCCTCAAAGTGCAAACGGAAAAAATAAAATATGAATAAATCTACAAATCGAAGGATGAGAAATCGATTAATGTATTTTGCCCCCCCCCCCTTTTGTGAAATTCCTCTTGAAATTTGATATGTCCCTTTACTTGGAAAAGAACTTCCCACTAATGCACTTCATCATCCGCATCAGAAGACCAGTATGCTCTGACACCAGTATCAATTAAATTATATGACTTTCCATTCTTACGTCATGCTTAAATAAAAGCCCGTAGTGGGAGGAGGATATCCTTCTGGTAATTTAGTATGGGGAAAAATATTTACAGGGTTGTTGTGCCCCTTTTTATGTCGCAGTATGTTAAATCCTACCACATATATGTTATAAAACTTGTAAAATTTTCCTCGTTAAAAGTTAGAACCTATACATGCACCCCCAGATCAAAATAGATTTTTCGAGTTCGGACAATTTAATTCATTTTGTTTATTTTTTGCTTGTCAAAATTTTTTCAGATACATGTATCTTGTCAATCCTCACCCCCCCCCCTTTCCCAACACACACACAATTTAAAAACGATGCTACGTCCCTGAAACAGTAAAACACCGGACCTGAGTCTATCCACCAACAAAAGACGGGTCTTCTTCATCGTCTTTGACCTTTATTTTTTTCCAGGGATCGCCGAACAGGTGTTATTCCCAGGGAACCCCGAACAGGAGTTACCCCAAGGGAACGCCATACAGGATATCCCCTGTCCAGAAGACAAACTATTGGAGTGTAGAGATTCTCCGGCCATGAAGTCCTTGTGGATAGAAGACGCCTGTCGGTAGGTAATCAATTCCGTTTACGAGCTCTCCTGTCCTCCGAATATTCTGAA